TTGAAGTAGTACTTAAGAAGTTGGGCAGATAATCCTTGTCATGGGCTAAACGCATTCACTGGACCATTATGCTAATGCAGCTGCATAATCCATCCATTTCGCTAACACAATCCAGCAACTCCCAGACATGGAAAGCATTGTTGCTGTTTAATTCACTAGTACTAGTGTTCCTGAGTACCTTTTAGGCTCCACAAGGACTGGTGTCAGGTGTGGGAAGAGACTATGCTAGCTTCTTGATATTGCATGTTCCTCCCAACACAAGTAACTCATTAGGCCACTCTTCTGCTACTGGATGGATGAACTCAGTGTGTAGATGGTGGCATGAAGTCAGTAAGAATGACAGTAGGATAGGCTCAGTGCTGTGCATCTCCATGTGGAATGGGACAGACCATCCTCCATGAACACATTCACAGAACAATAAAACCCACGTGGAGCAAGGTTTTATTGAACAATATTGTGTTAACCAGTGAAAAATTGAAGAAATGGAATGATATTCTTCTGCTTTTTTGAAAACAATCCATCAGACATAAAAAAAAAATCCAAAGAAGTATTGTTTTAAAAGAATTACATTGCTACAACACCAAGAATGGAAATATCCATGTTAAAATTATCTTTGACATCTTAGCTTCCATTTCCTGTGAATGTGTCTCACAGTGTGTTCCTTCCATCATCCAGTCACATGTTGCTTCTTGGCCTTGTGCAGCAGCAAGTATAGGATGCTTGCTGAATATGGAATTGCCCATACACTGCAATGTGACAGCAAGACATGAATATATAGAAAATCTTCATTCAGTAACTACATCCACATGTACAGTTAATGAAGCACAATAACTATAGAAAACAGAGCACACTAATATGTAAGAAAGATCAGCAGAATTAAATTAACAGCAGTAACCTCCATTTTACAATAGTTTCTAAGAGCTTTGTTTTCCAGTCTTAGCCATTTTTTGACCAAAAAAACACTGCAGGCTCTCACAGTGTAGTAAAGTTGATGAAAATCAAGGAAGTCCATAAGGACCAGAATTTCAGGCCAGGACATTGGAACTCAGTGTTTGTGCCATTCTGCCATGTCAAAAGTCCTGGTTTGTGGCTTGAAAGTGCAGGATGAAATTTAATTTCTCTCCCATTCATTTTTTAAACTAGAAAATAGTAGAAGTATGGTTGTTTTGAGTAAAATCTTTCAGATACTGCACCATTTCAGATCAATGCTTTCTTCCCTTCAAGACTACCTGCTTCTCAGAATGTTTGCTTTCTCAAATTATTAAAGGCTCACAAAATAAAGAACAGGGACTATGTGTGTGCCAACAGGTATTATGTGTGTGCCATAAGGCACACATAAATGGCTCATGGGCAAGATGATGGAACAAGTTCATAAAAATAAGGGTTTCTTAATCCATCGCCCTACCAATGCAGGAGAAATTGTCTTTGATGAATGTGGCAGGCATCTTTATCCGTCAAGAATGGCTCCCTGGAAGTAAGTTTAGGGCAGAGTGGCCAAGCAGTAGTACATGTGGTGCCCAGCACAGACCTAAAGCTCAGTATACAGGGAAAAAAAATTGCGAATAACCCTAGATTTTCCAGTCTGTACAACAGTGGTTAATAATAAACTCATAGGAAAATATTTATTTTCTCCTGATTACCCAATATAAGGATTATCTACATAAAGCTACTTGCCATTCTCTTCATCTAAATCATGGCAGTCACAGCTGTGAATCAAAGGAAAGAAGAGTATTTAGCTTCAGCTACAAGGGTTAAGGTTCAAAGTACAGAAAACATAGTCACAGGCATCAGTAATTTGTTCTCCTACTTTTAACAGAGTATCAAGGGGCAAATTTCAGGCACTGTGAAAGTTAATGGCAAAGCTTGTTCACTGCAGCAAGGCCAGATCATCACCTCGATGACTGACTAGAATAAACTACTCACAAACAGTACTTTTTCTAGGATATGTCAGTTTTAATGACAGGGCGGCTTATACAATCACTTTCTGTGGATGAGACGGAGTTTGTATTTCTAAATCTATAATTCATAATCTCAGATACACAGAGACAGATTTGCAAGCAGCATGGATTCACAGCTACTTTAGAAGAGTATGATGACCTCAGGACAGATTTTTTGACAGTGTGAGATGGGATGTACACTTAAGAGAGTGAGCAGTGATGTGCAAATCCACACTCACACAGAAGCAGAGAAACACAGAAAGGCAAAGAGATGCTTGAAACAGAAGAGTTTATTGAAATCACAGAGATTAAGGTGCTGCATTTGACAAGCACATTGTACAGGGGACAGTGTGTCACAGCAGTACGCAATATGAGGTCAGAAATGTGGAGTACCACCTGCAACATCTTTGTGGATATCAAAAAGTGTTATGAACGGAGCACAGCTTCTATTCAGGCAAGGCATAAATGCAGGCTTTGGGGTAGAACAAACATACCTGAAAGCTTTGATAAACTTGGGACACAAAAATACCATCATAAATTCCATGAGAATCTTTAAAGGTCTCAAATTCAGTTTAATGCAGATATGTTTGAATTTACTAGAAAAGGTTCACCTTACGTCATGACCTACTAGTTATATTTTTAAGCAATTACATAATTATGAAGACTTGGAATATTATAACAGATGTGAGCAATTCTTGCTTTTGCATTTAACAAAAAAAAACCCAAACTCTACAGATACCAGTATTTCTTTGAACATGTATTAGGATGGACTAAATTGGAAACCGTAAACACATAAAAGGGGAGAATCAAGGTTTTGTGTACAACTATAACTTCACATTGCTGCCTTGGTATTTTTTCGAAGGACTGAAAACTAAGAGTAATTTTAACCAAAAAATCTGAGACCATCTGTAAAAGTCTGGCATGCATTGTAGCCAGCCTGTATTGTAGAAGTGCCTGTACCTCTGCAAGAAATGTTTATATAGCACACAGTATATATAATTTCATTTTTTAACACTGATATAGACAGCAATTCACTGATATAATTCAATAAAGCACACAAAAGCACTCTGACAAGGGGTCTTGCACCCATAGTGCAGATTTAACCCCAAAACAACTTCCTTCCCTACACTCATTGCCTTGGCAGTGATGAATTCATACAGCTTCCTATTTGCTGCTGCATATTAATGATAAATATTAAATGGTATTGCATAAATAAAATACTGCTCTGTTTTCACTGGAAGTCAATGCTAGAGGAGGACTCCTTGTTTTTAACATATATTTTGCGCTGGCCAACTTACTGCTTCAGGAGAGTTTGCTGGACTCAAATCACTAGCCTTCATCTCATAGTTAATTAGAATATCTGTTTCTCTCTCATGCCTGTGTATTCCTTAGTTTCTTAAAATTCAATTTTTCAAATAGGATTTAATGCTTATAAAACGCTGCTCTCACCTCTCTTAAACTGAAATAATTCAATAAGGTCCTGACTTGAATGCTTCTGCCACAGAGTACCCACTGTAATTGCGGATGACAACAAATTAGCAGGTGCAAAGGACTGCTCACTTAAACCACAGCAAAATCCAGACATTATCCATGGTGTGATTATGGTGTTATTTGGGTGTGATAAACTAAACAGCATCAGGTGAAATGAAAGAAGGTGACACAACAGAAATTGCCTGTTTGTATTCAATACAAACCCCAAGGTGTGAGGGGACAAATGAAACTGAAAAGTATTTAGAGAAACACAGTGCTACAACAACATGATAATGTCTGTGAAAACAAACCTTTACATAGAGTAGTGTATCTAAGGGAGATGGATAACAAACAAAACAAGGCAGCTGCATTTGAATGAAAATGCACATACTTTTCTCCTGGCCCTTTCACAGCAGTGGATACAATCAGTGCCTGGATTACAGGAGCTGGTGTCTACCTGGAAAATAAAGGGTATTCTGGCAACTCTTCTGCTATAGTAGAGGCAGAAAAAATTCTGCATTCATATTTATGGCCTTTACATATTTTTGTAGTCCAACCAACTTAAAGAAATCTATGAAATGAGCGTGGAACTGCTCGTAAGGGCTTCTTTGCTCTTTCTGCTAGCTGGTAACCTGAAATACTGGGAGCAGGGCATAGGTTTGAAAAACCAATTGGTTAATCCAATGACAAAGGTTTCATTACCTTTCCTGGAATTATGTCTGTTCTGTAAGTAGCTGATGCCACAAGAACAACAGGGCCAGACAGCCCTGTTTAAAGGAACATCTGGTGAAAAAAACCAGTTTTAATATCCCAGCGTGTAACCAGGCGGTCTGGGGTGCATGGGGTTTGGCCCATCCATGGTGCCTGGGGCCAGGGTGAGCAGCTGGCAGTGCTGTCAGCCACCCTGCCAAACACGAGGGCAGAAGCTGAGGAGGTTTTCCGAAAACAGGGTGCTTATTTTCACATTCTTTGTGCTGAGGAATACACTCACTGCACAGCGAGCTGCAGGTTGAGCTCCGAGGGGCAGGAGCCCCAGCGCGAGACAAGGGCCATGAACTGACGACCCTTTGCCTAAAAATGGGCACAGGGAGCTGTGGCCCAGCCAGGGGACCTGACACTGAGACACAGGAGCCCATGACCCTCAGATTCAGACTTCAAGGTTTGGACTTGATGACCTTGGAGGCCTTTTCCAACTGACTGATTCTGTCATCCTGTGACTTCCCGCGCTTAGACTGTGAGGATACAAAAGCCCAGGGTTCCCTTTGTTAGGGGGTCCCTACTCAGAGGCACAAGCTCAATCTGTTATTTTGTTATTTTATATTTTAGTTTATTTATTCCATGATTAAATTAAGGATCTGGATGCCTGAGACTCTGCTATGGGAAACCTGGGGCCAAGCCAGTAAGAAAACCTGGTCTGTCGGTGTGAGTATAGCGGGTGTAGCTGCGAAGGAGCCCCCGTCCGAGCTCAGTTGGTGCGGGCGTGACTCTCAGAGTGACCCCTGGATGGTCAGACAGGGAAGCTTCTTTAAGAGTTCAGCAGGAGAACGCCCACTCCTCCTCACTACGAGCCGGTGCGGAGCTAACGAGGCGTGACACGGGCTCGGGATAAAAAACAGCGGCGGGCACCGCGAGCAGGATCCCGCCTCAGCCCCGTGCCCGCGCCAGGCCGGGCGGGGCGGCCCCGGGATCGATGTGTCGGCGCTCGCAGGCGGCGGCGGCCATGGCGCTCAGCGGGGTGCGGGTGCTGGAGCTCGCCGGGCTGGCCCCGGCGCCGCTCTGCGGGATGATCCTCGCCGACTTCGGGGCGCGGGTGGTGCGGGTCGACCGCCCGTCCCTCTCCCCCGTGGCCTCCGACGTGCAGGGCCGCGGCAAGCTCTCCCTGGCGCTCGACCTGAAGCGGCCGCAGGGAGCCGCGGCCCTGAGGCGGCTGTGCCGCGGGGCGGACGTGCTCATCGAGCCCTTCCGCCACGGTGAGGGCCGGGGGGAGCCTGAGGGAGGCCGTGTGGGGGCAGCGGGAGGTCGGGGCTGCGGGGCCACGGTGCTCCCGCCGGCCAGCCTGTGAGCTCTGGAATGCTGAGCGGGAAGAGGGAGGGCAACGGAGTTTGGGGTTTATTTGCTGTGACTGGGCGGCGAGTGCTCTGTGTGCGCTCTGTGCAGTGCAGCATCGCTGTGACAGCGCAGGGAAGGAGCGCTCAGCCAGGGCCGTGCCCCCCGGCCGGGCCTCTGGACAAGCAGAAGGATTTCAGAGACCAGGGCTCACTCCTGGTTTTGGGCTCTGAACGAGCAGGAGAATGTCCCAGCCAAGGGGTCACACCTGGCCTGCTGATACCGTCCAGCACACATTTGTAAGGTTGCCCAGTGGGTCAGAGGTCTCGGAGCTTACAGTTCCTCTGAAGATCTGACATTATGCATTTATACAGTTATGCATTTATAAAGCATGTATTCCAGGGAGATGAGTATAAGAACAAGTGTTAAGTATTCAATAGAGTAGTGTGATTCCCTTATAAAAGGTAACTCTGATTTAGGATCAAAACCAGGTTATGAACTACAAGTCTTCAAAAGTCATCATATGTGATTTCAGGAAGTTGCTTTTCACAAACTCATCAATTCCTGCCAGTCTTAAGTCCAGTTTTTGAAAACCTTCCTTTTTTTGTATTATTTTACATTTTTAACATTAGGTTAAATAGAAAACAAAATTCTTCAAATATTCAAATATGGAATTATTCAATTTTTGAAAATCGTCTTTTTAAAAGATTTTTTGGTTCATCTTTTAATTACATATTTACATATGCATATTTACTGATTTACTGTATTTAGGGGCACTTAATATCTGCTTGTCAATAGCAAAGTTTACACTGTTTTAAGATCCTGAGTTTCAGATATTGACTTTTCAGATCTAAAATGTTCATAAGCCATACTTGATGGTTGTTTCTGTATCCCCACTGTTCCTTGAGGATGCTGTTCTGTTATGAAGCAGTATCATCGGAGTCAGGTAGGACAGGGCTCTGTGCACACAGATCTAATTGAAGATGTCTCTGCTCCTTGCAGTGGGATTGGACTAGGTGACCTTTACAGGTTCCTTCCAACCCAGACTATTCTGTGATTCTATGATGATGCTTCGGTGAGGAGCTGAAATGTTTTAGGGTTTCTACAGCCAGTTTAGAAATATAAGGCTATATCAGTTAAACATCACACATCACAGACAGATGCACAGATCATATGTCACAAGTAATTCTTTTCATTTTGAAAACAGGGTTTTATAATTTTTATGTTTCTTACCTTAAAAGTTTTTGGTTTATTCCCTCCCCAGAAGCTGTGCAGACAAAATGAAGACATTAAATTCCATTTTTTCTTTGTAGCTAGCCTGTTTTCTAGCAGATTTTTTTTTTCTTATGAAATTTTGTTTTCCTTGGTTTTATAGGCACTTGCTTTTCTTTTTAAGCTGAAAGTGCAGGCAATTCTGTAACTAGATACTAGGTTTTATGGGCCTGTAAGTGAACTAGGCAAATCTGTGACCTGTTGTGAAGCTGGTGTGAGAGAGTGAGAAGGTGAGGGCCCAAGTGACAGGAGAGCTTTGTAAAAGGCATATGTACTGTCGACCTTATAACAATGACTTTGTGACATCAGATGGGTTTCCCAAGGCACAGTTCTCACTTGTGCCTTGGGAAATCATGCACTTTACCAAATTTCACGGCTTTCTCCTTCTCATGAATCACCTGCCACTGCCCAGTAATTAATGCAATGGAAATGGATCTTAACAAGGTTGAAGGTGTAGTAACATTATGGATTAGTCTGTGAAACAAGCTGGAGTAATATTCTAGGGTGGAACAGGCATTGAAATTACATTACCCTTTCCCTTCCAAAATGTGTCTCTCTGCAGTGCCAGTATTGATCATGTCATAGTCTGACCAAGCTGCATTGAGACAGTAAGACAGTATAATTTACTTGCAACTCAAATTTGCTTCTTTTAAAATCACTTAGAACTGCAATATCAAATTATCAAATTTTTAACCCTGATTTCTGTATACCCATGATGACCAAACTTACATTGCAGTGATTTCTAAAAGCTCCTTACTCTCTTTATTTAGTTTTGTGTGGTTGTTGCAGATCCTTTGTGAAATAGTGACATGGTCCATTCATATCAGCGAGTTAAAAGGTACAGGAACACATGGGGCACTGAGAAACTAAAACGGTGAGGAAAATGTATTGCAGTGAGATGTGGAAGAAATTTCAAGTAGTTTTAATGTGGAAAATATAAGAATTTGCCTTTCCTGTTTTTTTTCTTGTTTTGCAAGCCTTTTTAGCTTTTTTGCTCATCCAGCAGTACAGGAAACTGTCTGTCATTCCTTTGGAGAAGTAAAACAGGGAAAAAAGCTGAAAAAAAGAGAAAGAACCCTAAAACTTGATTTCCACTTGGTTTGTGTTAAAAATTTATTCAGTAAGTAATTTATAATGTTCACATTGTAATATGGATACTGAAGTAGAACGTATTTCTTTACAAAGTACAGTTGAGTTCTGTTGTTGTATAATCTGACTTTGAACCATGTATATTTTAAGTATTGTTATAAGTAAATGTGAATTAGAATCCCTTGGTTATGTCTTTTTAAGGTGTCATGGAAAAACTTGGACTTGGTCCAGAGGTCCTTCTGCAGGAGAATCCCAGCCTCATCTATGCTAGACTTACTGGATTTGGCCAGACAGGAAAATATGCCAAGTCTGCAGGTCATGACATCAATTATTTGGCTTTATCAGGTAGGCTGTAAAATTTCTGTTAAATTAAGAGGTTTTTTCCCCCTTAAATCAAAACTCAGGAATCTGTTGAAAGCAGATAGCTATTAGGCTGGATCAGCACATCGTCTCAGGCTGTACATTATTTTTCTTTTTTGTGCTATTGTATCAGAATAAACTTTTTCTCTTTGAAAGGAGGACAGAAGTTTTTCTTAGGGCCTCTCTCCTAGAAAATCTGTGTGCTTATAATCCTGAAAGACCTGCGGATTATTTTGCAGGCTTGTGAGCTTTTTTTGAGCAAAGGGAAACTAGGCAGCCTAAGACAACTGGTTCTTGTGCTTTTCTGCTTGTAGATGTGTCTCCGCAGACACCAACTGAAACACAGTAGGCTTAAAATAAAGTGGCAGTGCTATGTTTCATTAAGGGGTTGTACACATTGTGCTGTTTTTAAGTGTCATGATGCTAAAAGTATGCAGTAGCAAACAGTAACAAAATTACCCACCTCTGATGATGGCAATCCATGCATGGCCCTACCTCCTGCTCTTCACACTGCTTCTGTCTCTACTGCTTCTCCAAGCCTGTGAGGGAGGAGAGAAAGTGGCCCAAAACTTCTTGGATTTCCACTGGACAGAGCATTTCTTTTAGAGTCAGCAAAGGGCCGGAGCAGAGGTGCTGCAAATGTAGTGATCTGCTGTCACCTACCATAAGGAGTAACTGTTTGGTGGAATTAAGTTTCTTTAGGAGTGGGTTCAGTCTTTTCTCGTTATGTAAAATTGTCAGAGAATAAAAAAGATGTAAGAAAGGATGCCTCATTTGAAACACTTTTGACTTCATGTCAAGATGATTTCAAAGTATTAGGGTATTTTTATTTGTTATTAGTGTAGGGAAGGAGTCAGTACAGAAACACTGTAGTCCATCTCTTCCCATAGAATGTAGTACTTTCTGTTTTACAAATAGAGGGATTTTTTCCTCTGGAGATGATTGTATCTGTAGTATTTTAGTTAGTTTTATCTTCCTAAAATCACTTTGCTTGAGATTTCACAGATCGAGTTTTTCTGCCTATTTAAAGGAAATAAAACAAGGTGTTTGAGAGGCGTCATTGTTCAAAAATGAGATCTCATATTCTCAGTATTTTCCTGATGAGCTTTGGCTTTCCCTAACTAAAAAATGGCTTGTGTTAGGAACTCGAGAGAGAAGTTAGCATGTTAATCTGCTGGTGCCTGTGACAACCTTTAGACTATTAAAGGAAGGTTTTAGTGAGTGACAGGGCTTTACACTTGCACTACAGGATTTGGAAACTTTTTTATACTGTGCACTCAAGTTGCTTGCACTTAGGAAATGCATTAGACCATTAACTAACTAAAGAGTGCATTAGAACCGTGCAGTTCTCAGGCATTTTTGACCAGGTGTTCTGCAAGTCTCAGACTTTAAGCTACAGACAGAGGAGAGAGGTGATCACACTGGAGTTTCTTGCTTGCCCGAAGGGAATCACTGTGAGGAAACTAGAAAGAATAAGGTCACAGTAAAGAGGATCAGGATGGCAGAGAAGTGTTAAAACATTCAAAGCTCTGTCTGAAGTAAACTGGCTTAGCCTTTGCTCTAATTCCTTTAATTTCTGCATAATTGCTGGCATAAGCATAAGTTCCCTGTGTTTACATTGCATGCAATCGGAGATAATCTTCCTGTTCTATTCACTGGTTCCTCTTATACGCAACCTTTTTTCTTTTTTATCCAAAGGTAGTTGAAGAGGGAGGATAGGACTGAAGCACAGTTGTCACTGTGAGATCCTTTGTTATGATTATTAATTCATTGATTATGTGCACATAAGACTGTACACCTGCATTTTTACTTTAAAAGATTCAAAGAAGAACAGTTTACCAAAGTTGCTTTGAAACATGTTCATAATGCCTGTTATGGGGGAGGTTCTATGCATGTATGAAGTACTAATATAGTACTAATAGTACCATAGTGCTAACAATTATTGCATACAAGAGTTTTTTTAATGTCCCTATAGACAAAATATCAGTGGTTTATCTGTGAGACTTTTATTAGTATCTTTAATTAAATGCATCTTCACTAATCAATTTCATGTATTTTATTTTATTCTTTTGTGAATTGAAGAGTAACTATTTGCTAAGACACAGACAAGTAAAGACAGAAAACTGTTGGTAGAAGATTGCTTTATCACTTGTTTATTTGCATAGATTGAAAAGAATGAAACTTCAATTGTAGAAATGTAGGAATGAGTGTTTATAATTAATTTTATGATTATGCTTCCTTTGTTTGCCCTCCTGTCAGGTGTGCTGTCAAAGCTCGGTAGAAAAGATGAAAACCCTTACGCACCCGTAAATCTTCTGGCAGATTTTGCTGGTGGAGGTGTCATGTGTGCGTTGGGCATTGTTATAGCCCTTTATGAACGTGCCACATCTGGCAGAGGGCAGATCATTGATGCAAGTATGGTAAGTAAGATCTCGAGGAAGGTGGGGTTTCGTATGTTTGCTTTTTCCTACTCTAAATCTGTAAAAGGGAGGAAACTGGATAAATGTAAGGTTTAAAACTGAGAACTTGAGAATGGGAAAGCAACCTCATAGACAAGCAGTTTTCACATATTACTCACTGCTGCCGTAACATCCTTAAGACGTGGAACACACTGTGCGACTTTCCCCCCTCTCTCTCTTTTTTACCTGCCTGCCTTCTTCACGAAATATTAGCTGTATATATTTGATGAGTAAGTTTGGTGTATGTAGATAGGGTGTGTAATAAAGAATTAACATAATGCATAACAGAAAAAAGGTTAATACTAATGAAATAGAGACTTGCATTAGCTTTGTTCAAGATACATCTTCTTTCGAATTGGTGACACGTCATATCTTATTAGAGACACTGTTCCCTCAGATAGTTACACTGCCATGGGTCGTTGCCAAGAAGTCTATTTCAAACACTTTGTGAATGTGCTGCAAAATAAATTAAAGGCTCAATTAGCCTAATAAAGAGTACTCTGGATTTTTGCCACTGGAAGGCCACCCACTTACACAGAGGAAAAATACTTATTTCTGTTTATCCTTGAAATCCATGTTATCTGCAAGTGTTTTTTCTCTCTTGGTCTCTCTTTTTTTCTGTTTTTAAAGAGCTTTGCAATTAAAATTGGACCTCTCTTTGAGGTGTTGTAGTACTAAGTGAAGGCTATGGTTTAGGCTGAAATATAAATTGGAAAAAAAATTACAGTAATTGAAAAAAATGCCCTTGTTGAAGTGGTCTTGATGATGGGAGAATAGAAAGTGATGTTTGATCTCTTGAATTGAGTAAGTTTTTGACAAATTCATGCATCATTTCCAGGAGCAGGCCATGGCATTAGGTCTAGATGAAAATTCTGTGGGAACAGGGCAAGACAGGATTAATGTTTTTACTGCAATAGTAGTTATTAGTGGTTGATTGTCAAAATGAAAAGCTTATTAAGTGGAGTTCTACAGATGTTTTTTGGAGTCTTTTTCAGTATTTTCTCCAACAAACTGAATGGTGGATGAGCGACTGTGTTTAGTAAATTTAAAGATAATATGTGTATGAGGCAGACTACAAGTATGTTGGACACTTGGATTAGAATTCAGAATGACCTTTTCAAATTGGAGAAATGACCTGGAAAAAATTGGCTGCAATTCATGGATAGCACTGCTCTGCAGTCCTCTTCAGGAAGAAAGAATTAACTGCACAAATGCAGTATGAGAACAATTGGCTAAAGTACAATCCTGGGGGTTTGTACTAGTCACAAGCTGAACATGAGTCAACAATACCATCCTGTTGCAAAACACATACACACTGTATTAGGATGTATAAACAGGAAATAGAGCCAGCAAACATTCTGAAGCAATTAATCTAACCTATTCAGTGTTTATGAAGATTCAGGAAAATACTGTTTCTGATGCTGACCACCATCTTTCAAAAAAAATGTGAGAAAGCCCCAATAAGCACGACAAAAATTATGACTCTGAAAGCATGACCTACAAAATAAAATTGAAGGAGTTTGTGTTTAACAAACACAGTTTGTTTCATAGTTTTGTGAAACTGTGGAGAATTTTGACAAGCTTTCAAATGCGGAAAAAGATACTTCTTGCAGTTTGTAGTATTACCTTATTTTCCTTATCATACTTAAAAGAAGTAAAAAAAAAATTGTTAGAAGAATCAGTGTAAGTCTGCTAATGTTCTAATGAAATTTGTAGCTCATTTGGAATGGAATGTGTTGTGTGTTTTTATTGAGGGGTTTTAAGCCCCTAAAAAGTCTCTTTCAATTTTTTCTTGCCTTATTAAAATTGCAGAATTTATAGTTCTCTGTTGATGTGCCTGGTGATCCGTGAAAAGGGTGGAATAACGTTCAGTATCACCGGATGTACCTTACGTGGCATTTTGTTATTTTCCTTTTACTTGAATAGACTTTCAGTGACACGGTTGATGAAAAACATACATGCATCAGCAGCAGCAAAGGCAGTTAAATAGACTGGGTGGATGAGCCTGTTTTTACGCCTAAGATTTTTTCATGGAGGTAGATATTTTTAAAATCACAGTACCACAGAATTTCAGCTGTTATTTTGTTTTAACATTATATTTTGTTTGATAGAACCATTACTTAAGTTATTTTATAGTTTAGGGAGTCACTGACTATGTTCGTGACTCTGACACATGGTAGAATTTTCTACAGCAGAAGAGGGAAAATGAATTTCTTTTTTTTGCAGCTTTGTGTCATCAGGATTACTTTTACTAAGTTTTCATGCTACTTCATGGATATGCTGACAGGGTTTTCTCATTTTATTGCAATGTCTATTTTTCTGACGCAATCTAAAGAAATAAATTATTTCTTGTCTTTCGGGTTAGTAATTCTAGACTGAGATCAGAATTTTTGTGATGAGAAAGAAATTGTTATTTTTCTCTTGCTTCTAATTACTGTGCTGAAGGGCGAAAAGTGAATTGGGAGAGTTCTTATTATCAGTAATATAAACATGAGGAACTCCTGTAGTTAGTGAATCTAAACTGATTCAAAAAGAGGGTAAAGAGGTTCAGGCCAAGAGCTGGACTTGCATCTCCTGTTCTCAGTGTCCAGTGTTATTGCTGTGCTGTGTAAAAAGTAAACACTGTCCTGTGTTTCATCTGTCTGCCTCAGAAGAGTTAAGTGCCTGGTCTGGATTGGTTCATGTTGGTTGCTGTCTCTTCCCACTGACTCGTAGGATCATAGGTATCTTACAGTAAGCTGGAGAGTTGCCATGTGCTGAGTGAGTAGGATGTGGAGTAGGACTCTGCTGTATGGCACAGTAGGCACAATTGTGCATCTGCAGTCTTGCACCACACTGGATCAGAGGCATGTGAATCAGAGCCACACTTGAGGTTCACTCCAAATTCAGCCACAGAACCTTCTGCTGATGGTAGGCATCTGACTGAGCATGACTCACTCTTTGTGAAAGGACTGCCAGAGGAAAGGATGCTGGTAATGAGCACTTGCATAATAGTCTCATGGCAGGAGCATTTAGCTGTCCAACAGAAGACTGAGGTTCCAGGTTTTTCTCAGCCTGGAGGTATTCAAAACCAAAACTCCCACATCCTAGAGGCCTTCATCAGTCATGAGGATAAAGGTTAGGTTGGTGTGGATTAATTCGCATTTTGAACTGTTTCAGTCTACAGAAGGAACAGAAGGCTTGCGGAGCAGACAGGTCACCTAGTGAAGTGGTACCTCTGGATTCTTGTGCCTGCTTCAGATACTGCTGGTGCTTTTGTTTTAAGGACCATTAAGTGAAGCACATAGCTGTTGCTGTAATCATTCTGCAGTTAGGATAAAGTGTGGTCTGCCTATGTTGTGCTTTTCATGTTTTAAAAGATGGTGATTACATTAGCGAGCGTGTGGTGTTATTTGAGCGTGCCTTTGGAGGTCTGGTGCAGACATTAGACACTTTTTTACTTGTCTCTGAATTCCAGTGGGCCTCAGGCAGAAGTTAGCTGTCCAGTTGCCCAGCCAGGGGTATTTCCAAAGTCCCTATGCCAGCGTAAAACAGATGTGCTGTTTTATTTTAAGTGTTTTCAGGGTAAGTAGCACTGTACATAGGTATTGTACAGGTGCTGACTTTAAGAGTTTTGTCAGCACTAAAATCCAGTTGTCGAGCTGATGCTGATATTTTTGCTCTCTTTTAGTATTCTTACTTTCAGTGGGTTTTGTGTATTTTTTGTTAATATGACCAATGCAAGATCAGATCATCAGTAAAGCAAACTTTGTTTTAATATCCTTGCAATCATTTTATGAACATGTAGATGAAGGTATACAGTATTTTCTCACATGAAGGTACTTTAATTGACTTTAACGTGTGGCAAGTAGGGCAGAAGTATTCCTGTCCTTGAGGCAAATAACACACTTTAAATGAAGAAACCTTCTTGACTGCATACTTCAGAGATTTGCATGTGTTAAAGTCTTGCTTAGAAAGGTGGAAACTAGTAGATCTTTCCCCATGAAAATTTAGTAGCTTTTTATTTTGGTACAGGATCTGTGCTTTTCTCTGTAGACAATACTAGGTTAATATTACACAGTTGAAAATGCATGAATCAAAATGATACTCAGAATGATACAACTCAGGTTTTAATCTGTTCCAGTGGAGTTTTTCTGGCCATACACTGTTAACTGCTTCATCTTTGCTTACAGTTTTTCTAATGCAGTCGGGAGAAAATGGATTGTACTGGTGAGCAAAACTGTAGGATGTGATTTTGCTTGAAAGACTGGTACAAGATTGATAATTATTGAAAGGCTGAACAAACTGAGTTTTCACCTGATTGTATTCCACATAGCCAAAATTTTGAGAAGCAAGTTGAAGCAGGATTAATCTTGTTTTCTAGTGCTGTATTCATCAGACACTTGCTTATTTAGAGATTACCTTGCTATGTCTAGGTACCTACTAGTGATGAGAGTGGGAGAATAATTTTCAGCTTAGTGATAGAGATAAGCTTCCAGCTCCCATGGTATGAGAGAGCATTAACCTTTGATTTCCTTCAATTTTTCTTCTAGAAATAGCAGTCTTCTTATAATCAGTATATTTAAAAAAGGTAATGTTGAGATAAAAATCTGATACTTACAGGACTGGTACAAGCATCTTGTTTTCTAGAGGTTTTGAAGGTTTTCACAGCTGTCATACTTAAGGTTGTATATAACCAAGAAGATTGTCCTGTCACCTGAAACTACTTACATTCCCATTGTGACCTCCTAATGATTATAAACTTTCTAAACGAGGAAACTTTGTGCATTGAAAGTGTGTAATCCATCTGAGGCTGCATTATTACATTTATGCTCTTTCTTATTCTTTAATTCTAGATGCACTATAAGCAGTAGTTGAAAATTTTAAGAAATGAAATTGCTTACCAGAAGTTTCATCATTAAAAATCTTAACTAGTAGTAGCTTTTTGCTATTTTGTTCTATATAGAATTTAGGTAACATGCCAGCTAATTTACTGAAGCTGTTATTTTTTCCTGTAAATCTTCAAGGTAGAAGGAGTAGCATACCTAAGTTCTTTCCTGTGGAAATCGCAAAATGTAGGAATTTGGAGCAGACCTCGAGGTGAAAACCTGCTAGACGGTGGTGCGCCTTTTTATGAAATCTACAGGACCTCCGATGGAAAATTCATGGCTGTTGGTGCCCTTGAGCCTCAATTCTATGAGCAGTTAATAAAGGGTAAGTAGCTTGGAGCAGTTGCTTCACATCAGGAAAGCATGATTGAACGAATTCTTCAGTAATTCCATTTTGATTCATGATTCATGTGATTTCATTGTAAATGTGAAACGCTTTGTGAAGCCAGTTGGGTTGTTGTGTAGCAGTTCAATTGACTTTTTTCTTCTAGCAATTAATTTCTTTCTTTTTCATCCACTCTTCACCTTGCCCTCAGAAAATACACTTAAACTGCAGATTTTTTTCTGGAGTTACAGTAATGGAATTCTGTGATGTGACTGGAGCACTAAAAAACTATTTTTTGGAAGTTGCTTTTTTCAAATGATTGTGAATATACTTTAAAAAAATGAGACCTAATTCTTTGATATTGCAAATAAAATTTCAAGCAAACTCAGTAATTTGTGCAATTTTTTTTTTTAAATAACTATTTAAATGGTTTCAGAAAGGAATATTCATTGGAAGTAGTTCGTAGTATTTCTCAGTGGAACAAAATTTTTGTAGAAGCAAATTCTGCTTTATAAATTATTAATTTCCTCCTCACAATTTCAGAGTACTTTTAGTGTCCAGCTATGGATACAAGTTTTATATTTGACTGAAGACTCTTTAAATATGACGATAAAGTGTGATTTATCAGTTAAAGAATTTAGAATGATTTATGCAAAATAGTTGTGTGAAGTTAAAACAGTGGTTTGCAGGGGCACCAGGCGGTTGATGGTGAGCAGTTGTTTTTTCTGATCTTTCTTGTGTTTTATTTTCCTCTCTGTTACTGGTTTTCCCCCTCTTTCCTTTAATGATTTTTTTTAAATTATTGTTTCTAGTTATTAAACTTTTTATCTGGACCTGTGAGTTTCTTTCTCACTTTTACCCTTCCAATTCCCCCCCATGTTACCAGGGGGAAGGGGAGTAAGTGGCTGTGTTGTTCTTGGCTGCTGGCTGGGGTTAAACCGTGACAGCTCCTCACAAGGGCATTCACTGCCAGCTCTGCCCGAGCCAGCTACATTATGCTAACAAGAGTGTAGTCATTGCCAGGGCCTTCTCTTCCAGGGATTTTTGAAATTCAGGATTGTGGTAAGATGAAATGAAGGTATGGGATTGTAAGGTGGGGTATGCCTTTGGTGACCAGGATCCCAAAGAGAGATCTTGTTCCATACAGCCTTTGTTCTCTCGCAGCCTGTGGTGCTGCCCAAATTCTTGCGTATCTCTGGCTGTAAGTGGCTGCTTCTCTTGTAGCTTAAAAATGTCCATGCAATTGCGTGGAATATCCCAGTCAGTACATGCTGATATGTGAAATGCAAAAAAGAGGTTCCTGGAGTGACCCATGGACATATGTCCAGCATTATGTTGAACAGATCAGATGTCAAGTTTGGAAGTGCTGTGTTCTTGGCTGAAGAAAAAGGTGCTTTGTCTCTGATTGTCCTGAGAATAACTTGTGAACTCAAGCTGTAAGCAACTTGATCTTGAAAAGGAAAGTATTGCTGATTATTCCACGCTTTGCAGTTCTTTGAAATGTTTTTCTCATCCAATCCCCTGTGATTTTCTTTCTTGCAAGAAATCAGAGTTGGAGAACAAAGATAAATATGAAACTGTATCAAAGTAAGATGTAAACCCTTTTTCTGGAGGTTAGGGAATTTGGGATTCCAGTAAATATCTTCAGGGAGAATGCTTGTATTAAATACAAAGAAAACAAGAAAGAAATAAAGCTGCTTACTCAAATACCCATATGTTTGGCTTAAAGTGATCAAATACTGACTTGCAGCATTCATGGCTGCAGTATTTTATTCTTCTCTGGAGATTAAGTTGAATCACACATACTTTTAAGCTACAGAAATGAGATGAAATCTGTTCAAAAAAACTCCAAATTCTGTAGTGGCGTCTGGTTCTGTTTGTGACTCTTTTTCTCAGTGAACCTTTTCTGAAGAGTCCTACCTTCTTGTATTGATCATTGCTATAGGGCAAGACTCATGCTTTTCTCTCTCAACCGTCTTACCTAGATAGAAGCTTCTCATGGATGAATCCAGCGGCCAGATGGTACCACACGGTTATTGATTGGTCTCTGTGTCTTATTTAGATAACTCTTTACTGAGGAAAATGTTAAAATTCTGCTTTTCTTTTAGTTGTTTCTCAGAAATTTAGAGCATAAAGTTGGAGGAGCAACTGTGAATTCTTCTGCCTGTGTAGGGGCACCTGCATTGGACTACTTTATTTTCATCTTTGAAAGTATTCCTTACACTTAAAATGCAGAGAAATTGCTTGATTTTAACAGCTAAAGTTTCAAAAATACTTATTGCAGCAATAAAGAACTGGTGTATATCCATTTGTAAGTACACAACAACTGCAATCATAGTTGCCTGTGTGTCAGTCTGTTTCTGTTGTGTTTTAAAAAATCCAACATACAGACTACAGTCTGCAAGGAAATTTTCCTTTTTACCTTTATTTGTATAACAATTTTTGCTTGTCTACACTCAGTGAATTTTCTTTGTTTATTTTGTGAAAGTGCATTGTTTAAAGTATCTGACCAAACTCAGGATTTTCACACAACATTGCATTTAAAGTAACTGGTCTTTGTCATTGTATTTTAGGTGCATATCATGAATTGTTCAGACTTTCACATAGGAAATATTTATTCCTTTCAGTACTTACGGTTTCAATCTTTCTGAAGCAATAGTGTGCTAAATTAGAACAGCAGATCCCTCTTGTGGCTTAGGGATTATTTCCTTTCTGGGATATCTATTGCAGAAATTAAATTCAGAATTTAAGCCTTTTAATATTATAGGGAAGAAAAAGCTGCCTGTGAAAATTGTATTGCTCTTTCACAAACCTGAGGAGCTTTAACTTAGGCGAAGTTATCTGTTCCAGGCACTAATTCCAGCTTTGAAGTGATTTTAGAATGGTATGTTCCAGTTACAATTTCCATAATTTCATTTCATAGCTTTTCCCCATAATTCTGGTCAGTTCTGCTGGTGAACAATTTGGTGCTGTTCCAGATAAAATATATTCAGAAACCACTTGATGTCTCTCGCTCCATATTCAGAGAGGAGGGTACTTTTGCCACTCCTGTAGGATGAGAACGCAAGGATATGGGTGTTGCAGGTGTCAGTTGGAGATTTAAAGATTTCAGAATGGAGATAGGAAAATGATTTCTGAACCATTTGTCCCTGCTCACAGAATTCTGATGAGCCAAAGTGGAACTGATTTCCTTTTGGTTTTGGTTCATTTCAGTGTTTCCCTTGCAGAACTGGGAACCCAGTGCTGGACTGGAGTGCAGTTAATGACATGGCAAGGAAAGTTCTTGAGGGGTCTGCAGAGGGAAACTTAAGACAATAGATTAGTTTGAGAATATCATTGGCTTTGTAGATCGTGCTCATTGGGGAAAATTAAATTTCTGCTTACCAGAAATTTATGAATTAAAGAAAACCAGGCTGTATGAGAAACTGAATCTATATAAAATAGATATAGTAAATAATTACTGCAGTAGCTATATTGTTATCTGTACTATTCTGGGCTCACTATAGACTTTTGGCTGTTAACAAACCAGCTGTAGTCCTTTTGCAGTCCTTTTTATTACTGCAAAAGTCAGACAATAAATAGCTAAAATGCCTTAGCATTTGGCTAAAATGGCTATTGCATCTTATGAAAAATCTGATGTAAAAAACACGTACTGCTAATGTTAAGTCTTAATCTTTTGACAGAAAGAGGCAGAATGTCTTCCAGCTGACCTGTGAATTGCTTTTGCAGGTTTGTCTTGATTTTTAGCAATAGGTGCTTGATATTGCTGCAGCCAGGCTACAAGAGGCATGAAGAAACAGTAAATATTGTGTTTCAGGTGACAGTAAAGGTCTGGTTCTGCCTTATCATGTGGTGTAAAGTCGGTTCCACAAGGTGAACTTAGTATCCACTTACATTGATGTGAAAACCACTGACAGTTACTAAAATCCTGAACGTATACTCAATAGTACTCCTTTCATACTACTTTGATAGTCCTAAACTGTGTGACTTATGTTCAAAACAGAAGGAAAGCACTTGAAAAACACAGTTGACATCATTATGATGGATTTCCATGGGACTCTCCATTTTGGGATTGTGAAGTTTTGTGTACTGTATTAAAAATGTGCTGATATACTGAATTCAGTACCATGTTGTTATTAAGATGTGCAAAGGGGACAAACATTTGAGACATTTTAGACTCAGTTACACATAATGTTATGTTTTATTTGAATTTGTTTATTATTATAAGTCTTAAACATTGTACAAATACTCTAGGGCCAGGTTCTTGCTGCACCAAAACATTTGCAATTGTGAGAATTAAGCATCTCACCTCGTACTACAGCCATGGATATATTTGCAGCAATGCTCAGTAGTACTCAGGGCCTGATCAACCTTTTGCTGAGCTGTCACTTTCTAAAAAATTATTTAGTTTCAGAAACTTCGAGCAGAGAAAAAAGTTTAATGAAAATTTGCTACCGTCTTTGAATATTCTGAAGTTCAGTTCCCTCTCAGAGTGAGAATGACTTCTGTTTAGAGAGAGTGTGCAATGGCATGCACCTAATGGCTGTCATTTGGGCCAAAATTATGGATTCCCAACTAGATGGTTCCATTCAATTGTTGTGGCAAGATAATTTCAAAATTGCTATGACCATGCAATTTTGAAAAGAAAATTAGTAAGTTAAACTAAGAAAAGCCTGAACAAAGCTTTGCTTTTGTAACAGTGTGGCTGAAATACTGTAAGAAACTGTAAACCAGTGATATACTGTAAGAGTAAAGCAGCTTTGCTGATTTATCTAATGAATTTTACTGTTTCCTCTTTCTTGAAATTAGGTGCCTGATTCTACTGCAATCTGTCTCAGAAATACAGATTTCGGTTCGTTGCATCAATAATGACATGCAGATAGAGGTCAAAAACTCTATAGCATTTGAAGGAGATCTATAGCTATAGCATTATAAGTAGACAATTCTTCATTTTTCAAAAGCCATTTCAGAGCTGTTCTGGCATGAGTTAACTGGGCTTTTCTAAACAAAAAAATCCTAGATGAAAATTTGAACTAAAAAACTTGGAAGTAAGTTTTGATTGCTTTACAAGATATTCTGTGTAAAAGATACTTTTGCTTTTGATTACATTGAGTGAAATCTGTCATCCTGTGGTATCCCAGACAATTCTGTGCTGTGTAATTGTTTCCTTGTTGAGTCAGTCACTCCTGCTGTGATTCTGCTCATCTGTGCCGCAAATGGTTAGCACAAGCTGGAAAATGAGAAGCTGCAGTGCTTAAAGGCTGTCATTTGAATTTGAAGTCTTCAATGGTAAACGGAAAATGAGCATGTAATATTAAATTCCAGGTTCTGCACATTGTTCTGCTCTGCCAGAGTGTGTGTGGTTACATTCAGCCAACTTTCCATCTGCCACGGCCATTGAATATAACTCTGTAATGGGATAATGGTAGAGCTCTGTTCATGTTGGACTGGCTGCTAGGACCCAAACTATAATTAATAAGCAAATAAGTACTTATGAAAAAAGGTTTCCAGCTGACAAGATTTCATGCACTGAGACAGAATCTCAGGCAGTGTGTTGTTACTTAGCTGTACATATTGTGGAAGGTAAATTTGTCTCACCTCATAGTTTGTAAGTAAATTGTATCGCAACTGTTCATCTTTAGTAGTATACTTTGGAAATTAATAATGCAATTAATTTTTTAAGTATTGCTAACTTTTATTTATTTATGGATGTTCAACCACTGTGAGTAATCTTCAGCTGATCTCTTTTTAGGATGGCATGAATTGTTATGAGCACTAGATTGTAGGTTTAGTAATTTAAGGTACCCATAACTTGGTAACACCGTAAGGACTGATATTTACTTTGTAGTAACATTCATCTTGATATCTGTAGGCATCTCTGATAAGATCTGAAAATGCTTATTTTGTCTTTGTGACAAATTTCTTCTAAAAGTGAATAACTGCAAGGCTGTATTTCTGGGTCTGGAGACTGGCAATTTCTGTGTGTTTTTCTTTGAAATACCAAAGTATAATTTCAAAGCATGTATTAATTTTTAAAGCTATTAAGAATCCTGTGCTCAACAGTGACATTCTCAAATATTATGTTAAGCTGGGGGGACCTCCAGGCCCCAGGAAGTGCATCTTGTAGAAATTATGAGTGGAGAGAAAGAACATAAAGAGCAGAAGAATAGACATTGTCTTTCTTTCTTCTCCCCTTTATGTTTCAATAGCTATATGTCTACCTCTCTCAGTGATAAGGAATCTGTAGAAATAGAAGACATCATAAGTTTTTTTCTGCCTATCAACAGCTAAAGATTAGAGGAGTTTCATGTAAATTCTGCCTGCAAACAGCTGTCTAGTACCCAAGCCTGTTAACACTTGTTGATCAACAGATATCCAAAGATACTAGAAAGAATGTTCAAAATTAAATGTTTGCAGAGCTCTGTATTTTCAATGCCTTTGACACAGAACTGTTGTTTCGTAAGCGGCTCCCTTTTTTTGTTACTTTTGAAGCATTGTGATGAGAGTTGTTCTCTAGTCTTTCTTATTTCTCAAATGAACTTCTTTCTTATCCCTGCTTTTTCTGAATTTTTCCTGCTGTGTTCATGCTCCTTAATTTCAAGATGGAACTATTTGGACAGCCTTCAATATACCACTTCTGATTTCTATTTGGTATCATAAGGTCTGCTTATGTTACCTCCGTATTATCTCCGTTTTTGAAGTGTAGTTTACTTACCTTTTCTCTTGGTTTTTACCTCCTTTTTGAGATAAACCCTACAAGAAGTGATAAAAATTCTTACATCTTCTTGAATAGCAGAATGGAAGAGTAGGGAGCGCCGAGAGCAGAATCCATGAGAACAGAAACAGAGATTGAAAACTGGCAGTACAGAAAAGCTGTAAGCTCCTGCATGGGAGGGAATGTGGTGCTAATTTAGGGAAGGACCTGGTACTTCCTAGTTCAGGAAGTTTTCAGTACAAAACCTGTGTGTCCATGCTTTGCTCTTGTGTCTCAGAAGGAATGTGCATATTGCATACCTGGGTGGTCCTTGTGACTGACATGGAAGGCAAAGTTCTTAGGCAGTTAGTGAGTGAAAGGACTATGGGTTTCACTTTTCCCAGAGAGTGGCAGTGGAGAATTGGAACCTGGGAGGTGTGCTGAAGAAGAGAGAGCGGGAGACGCTGCTGGAGACTGGACTGAGGGAGTGAAGAAGCAGGTCAGGCTGCAGGTGCTGAGCCTGGGAACATCCATCCACACCATCTCCACATCTGGGGCACAGAAATAACCCGATGGTGTTGAACTTCAAACACTGCAGCCTTGCTGAGTGTCTAGCTCTGGCAGATGTGCTGGCTTCTGTGAGATAAGTGTGTTGCTATAGTCAAGGACTTATTCAGCAGACTTCTGTGTTGCTACTGCCAGGTAGAGAATACAGTACCTATTATAGAAGCTGTTCTCAGGACATTATTATCTCTAGACAGCTGCTGCTTTTGTGAAGTGTTTATACAGATTAGTGTTTATTATATATACTTCGTTAAAAGGCTGTAGCTGATGCAGTTTAGTCTAATTGCAAGCATCATAGAACATTTTATTCCTCTGCTCCCTGCCCTGCACAGATGCCTGAATAAAGTTTAAAGTGACTTTCAGTACTGCCTGAAAAATACTACCTTCTTGAGAAACATACTAGTTGTAGGGAGCACTTAGTAATTAATCTAAGGCATACTATAGTTAACCTCTGCTTTTCTCCTTTCAGGTCTTGGGTTAGATTCAAATGAACTTCCCATTCAGTCTAGTTTCTCCGACTGGCCCGAAATGAAGAAAAAATTTGCATCTATATTTGCACAGAAGACACAGGCTGAGTGGTGCAGCATATTTGATGGTACTGATGCCTGTGTGACCCCTGTTTTATCCTTCGATGATGTTGCCTCACATCAGCATAACAAACAAAGAAGGTCTTTTATCAAAAATGATCAGGGAGAGATAAGTCCTAGACCTGCTCCTCTTTTATCAAGGACTCCTGCTGTTCCATCGTGTAAAAGAGATCCTTTTATAGGAGAACACACGGAAGAGATACTTCTAGAAAATGGGTTTACTAAGCAAGAGATTGCTAAACTTCATTCTGATAAAATAATAGGATTTGGTAAACCCAAAGCTAATTTATAATCTCTGACTGTGCATATCATACAAATTTAAGACTGATAGAGTAATTTTTTATGCATTAAAATTGAATTATATGACAAATAAATGTTTGCATGATATTGCTTTTAAATAATATATATCTTTTTAAATTATTTAAATTTTAAATATAATTGAAAACAGTGAGAGTTATGTACATGGATCATCTGCTCTCCAGAATGATACCATAATTGTGTTCTGAAGATCTACACAGGCTGTTTAGTAAGCACCTGTACATTCTCAGAATTTTTGTTTAAATATTGAATCCTGTGGCTTGTTTCTTTTAATTCTTAGTTACACCATTGCTTTGTAATATATGTTGCAATTACATGAAGGCAATACTTTTAATAAAATTTAATTATATTCTTTGTAAATGAGTTTGTTGTTTACTCATAGATTAGAAGGGATTTTTTCCTATATTTTATCATATTAATTAATTTGCTTTATCATGCCAAAACTATGGTCAAATTAATGCTGTTTGCTTATGTGCTGCTGCAGAGCTATTACCATAAAGTTAATCTGTTTAATAGCCTGGCTACATTTTCTCAGTGGAATCTCCTGATTATATTACATTTGGAATTTCAATTTGGCTAGAAACTCACTTCAGAATGAATTTTTTTTTATTTTTAAAATACCTGCCAATTATTATTCCTTTCCTTTCTTTAAGGAAAAGTGCCTGGTGACTTAGCTGCACAGGTTTTAAACAATGGTTATTCTGTATTGGTTTTAATTTCCTTCAAAATTAAACCGTCATTTGAAACCATCTTTTTCCAGGCAAAGGAAAATATACTTTTAAGAAGAATTAGTTATATGGCCTTAATACAGTATTCTCTACTCCGGTGTGTGAGAAATTATGACGTGAAGGGTTGGGGCTTTTTCATAATTTCATCTGCGTTTTGCTGAAGATTAGTTTGTTGCTTACAAAGGCTTCCAAAACTGAGATATACTTCAGCTCATTTTGTATCTGTCATGGCGAAAATGTCAGCATTATTACCATAAAAAACCCCTTTACATCCTATTACATGAACACTTTCCTGAAAGCAAGAATTGTCTAGTAGGTTCCGACAAATTTTCTGAATAACGAGCAAAACCAACTTATGTTTCCAGCTGATAATCACTCTAATGTGAATTACTGAATATTATACACCTTTGTGGTAGGATTCAACAGTTTTCTTAGTCCCAGGTGCATCTGATCATGTTGGAGAAAAGTCAAGGTTGTCAAATGTAATCTCCGTTGCACGTAAGTTTTGACCCCAAAATTGCTGACGTCAATTTGAAAATTCATGTTACTTCAGCACAGGTTGGATCAGTTGCCTCTCTTGGGTGGCTAATCTGAAAGTTTGGTGTGTCACTACAGATTTCTTGTGGGGCCTTCTATTGGCATGTGAGGGAACTCAACTAAGTGATCCTGATATCCCAGCCAAAACCAGCACACCTTTGTTTTCAGAGACCGAGAAAATAATCAGTTCTTCTCAGGGTGGTAGACAGCAGATGCAAAAATATACTTACCAGTTGCTGTTTGATGGACTTCTGTCAAGCTTTTTATCTGCCATTAGCACTCGAGGGCAATGGGAAGGTTCACTTACTCATCTTCATGAAGTGCACTGAAATCCTTTTCTGGACACATACAAATTTTTTTTCTCCCTGTTCAATCAGCAGCAAATCAGCACTTTGATGTTCATATTTGCTGAATTGAAAGATGAAGGCTCTAGATTCCTGGTATCACTGCTGTCTTAGAGCAGCAAGAGGAATAGCTTTGTGTCAGGCTAATGCTGCGCCTTGACCATGTGATGTATGTTCCCGTTATATGTGTGCTTCATGCGTAAACAGTAATTCCTTAGTTGTGGATAGTTGGGAGCTGTGCAGACGCCAAAGAGCTCAGATCTGCTAATGTTAACACACACTTCCCCGCCCCCTTCCTGGCATAACTTGTGATCGCAGAGCCATGAAAGTATGTGAGTCCCTCCCCCAGCACAGACCGATCCCACCCGGCATATGATCTGGGCCCCATGTCAGCCGGAGCAGGCAGCACCGACCTGCCCCAGCGCCGCATGCAGCCGGAGCAATGACCTTAACGAAAGAGAGCTTCCACAGGGTTCCTCCACCCGCTTCTGAAGTGGCCAAGGCTGATATGGACTGCACCGGAGAGAAGGAGGAGGCTCTGGGGCAGTCAGTGCTGAGGACTGGAGCAGTGGTGCCCGGGAGGCGAGCGGTGGGAAGGCTGGTCATGCACAGCATGGTGATGTTTGGCCGGGAGTTCTGCTATGCCGTGGAGGCCGCCTTTGTCACGCCGGTGCTGCTCAGTGTAGGGCTGCCCAAGAACCTCTACAGCCTGGTGTGGCTCATCAGCCCTATCCTGGGCTTCGTGCTGCAGCCCGTGGTAGGTTCAGCCAGTGATCACTGCACCTGTATCTGGGGCAGGAGGCGACCTTACATTCTGGGTCTAGGCATCATAATGCTGTTAGGCATGGCTTTGTACCTCAATGGGGACGTGATGATCTCAGGTGAGTGAGGGGCATGCACTGACAGACAAAACTCATCTTTAGCCTTTTGAATCACAAGAAGGAGAGGGGTTCCTCTTTTCCTTCTTAGAATGGACTGTTAAAATTGAGTATCATGTGACTCAGCTGCATTGAAGGAGCTGGGGAGCACTGAAATCTTCATATACATTCAATCCTAACGCTGCATGTTATGTACCATATCCATAGTGTTCTGTAATTTGTATGTGTGATTACAGCCTTCTGTTGCCTGACAAGCTTGTACAAGTAAAGATTTGCTTAGCCCCATAGAAGATTTTACGAACTAAGGTCTACCTTATTAGCTTAAATGATAATATTGTTTTTGCGATGTAATACACATCCAAACTGAATATCTATCTGTTCATCCCTATTTTAGGTAGATTAGCATTCAAAAATACATATCTTCAGTTATTGCAGCACTGGAGACTTTGTCATGCTGGTGAACAACAGAAGTCTTTAACTCCTTGGAAACTCTGTTGCACCTGGAATATGCAAAATTAAATAGAAATGACATGCCCAGATACTGTTATATTTCAACTTGGGATGTAACTTCTTAAAGTCTTGATGAAAAGGTGTTGCTGATATATGACTTGGCAGAGGGGGGAGGTGTGTGTTTTTAGGGATTGATTTATTCTCTCTTTCTGGATATCATTGATGTTGAATATACTTGGTTTCGTTTGCCCAGAAAGAGATGTTGCAGTCAACTCTTGATTATCTAAAACAATGGAAGGGTGGGACAAATAGAAAAAACCAAAAAGTACGACAAAGTGCATATGTTGGTCTACCAGAGCACGCCATGGAGGGGTAAAGGAGTAGATTAAGGATAGTGATTCTCTTGGTTGTGGAGCTTGGAGCACCCTGAGCATGTGCTGACTCAAGGCAGTAAGTCAACCTAGCACATCTCAGGGCTACACAGACTCAGTTCTCCTGCTTCTCTGCTCTGATTCTGGTGTCACTGTTCTCTCTTGCATAACCAGTCATTGTTTAGATTTGGAGGTATCAGGAAAGGTAAAATGTGGTTTTGCAGAACATGGCACTGTTGCTGTCAGAATGAGGGTGTTTCTCTTTTTGTAGCTTTCATCGATGAGAATGAAAAGCGGCGGACGTGGGCAATAGTCATTACCATGCTGGGAGTAGTGCTTTTTGATTTTGCAGCTGATTTTATTGATTGCCCCATCAAAGCGTATTTATTTGATGTCTGCTGTCATCAGGATAAAGAGAAGGGTCTGCATTACCACGCCCTCTTTACAGGTACTCAGATCCCTTCTTTTCCTCCCTTCCTTTCGAAGGAGAGGAAGGTGATTGCATGGATTTTATCCTCACTGTGTTTCTACTCTTGAATGAACTGATCATCTGATCCTGCACTTCAGTCACGAGTCTTTTGTTGCTGGGTTTTCACTACTCCAGGGAACAGCAACTTGTGATTACTGCTGCAAGAATTCTGCTGCAGAAGGCTGCTGGCATAAACAATTTTAGCAACATAGCCGTGATTTAGCTGAGAGCAGTTAATTATTTTAAAAAATGAAGTACTGTTTATTCAGATTGGTTTGATTTTTTTTCAGGTTTTTGGTGAAGCAAAAATTAATGACTGTAACTTGTTTCCTTGCTATTGCACATAGAAAGAACATTTTTAACTCGGCATGTGGCAGAAAGCAAGAGCTGCACAAACCAGACTAGTTGATTCCTCTTCTTCAGCAGTGCTCCAGTATGTGCTATGTAAAAATGGAAGTTCTGTGTTAAATTCAGAACTTCACAACCTCCACAAAATAGATCCAAGTGGTTCGGTCCAGGCTCTTGCAACGAAAGTTAACAGTTTCATTTGTCTTTGTACATGTTTGGAATGCTGCTGATTTACAGAAGGACATGGAACTGTTGGAGCAAGTCCAGAGGAGGTCCACAAAGTTAATAACAGGACTGGGGCACCTCCCGTACGAAGACAGGTTGAGAAACTTGGGGCTGTTCAGTCTGGAGAACAGAAGGCTGTGTGGAGACCTCCCAGCAAACTTCCAGTATCTGAAGGGGCCTACAGGGAAGCTGGAGAGGGACTCTTAATCGAGATGGGACAGGGAATAATTGGTACAAATTGAAAGAGGGGAAATTTAGGTTAGATATTAGGAAGAAATTTTTTACTGTGAGGGTGGTGAGACACTGGCGCAGGTTGCCCAGGGAAGCTGTGGATGCCCCAACCCCGGCAGTGTTCAAGGCCAGGTTGGATAAGGCCTTGAGCAACCTGGTCTAGCGGGAGGTGTCCCTGCCCATGGCAGGGGGGTTGGGACTGGGTGAACTTTAAGGTTCATTCCAACCCCTTAACATTCTGTGATTCTATGAAATCATCTGCAGTACATGAGCCCTGTGTTGAGACAATGCACAGGGAAGACACGTAAGGCTGTGTACATGCAAAGTGCATTGGGAGGAGCTGAGTGACTGTTAAAGGACTAGACAAAAAGCAGACTACCTGAGAAGTCATGCAATCTGTGTTAAAGCAGATGTTTGTGTCTGCAGAGCCACACCAAAAGCAGAGCCATGTAGATTCAGTAGCAGTTACTCTGCTCAAGGAGGGAGCTATAGTAGCTATTAACAATGGGCTGATTTTGGACATATGTAATACCTGTGTCCAGGAACACAAATTTTAAGGGAACCTTAAAGCCACATGGAAGTGAAATCAGTATTATCCATTACAAACTGACAGATAAAATTTTAAAGAATCACTTGTTTGAACAGAGAGAGAAATGAGTCTGTATGTATATTCTTGCCTTCAGCAGAAATCTGGTTGCAATTTTTCCTTGGCTCCACATTTGGAGGCTCCAAATTTGGATCTGATTCATTTGTGTACTAAGCTGTGAAAAGGGATGGGGGATAAATAATATCAAATAAAACTAGGGCAGATTGCATGGCTAGATCCAACACCTGTGCCCTCTGTAGCAAGTTCATTTGTATCTTAACCCTTCCTAAATGGGAATTCCCTAGTCCGTTCTTGAAATCTCCTTTGAGAGGGGTTCTACAGCCCTCCCTAAGCAATCTGTTCCAACACTTCACCAGCCTCAGTATTAGACAGTTTTCCCTAAAATCTAATCTTGACATCCATTCTGTACAGTCTATGTTTATCATTCCTTTTTTTATCCCAATTAGACGTAGACAGCAATCTTCCCATCTCTTTTCTAGTTTCTGTCTGAGATATTACTTTGTTTCTCCACTTTGGTTCCTTCCCTTTATACTAAATATCTTTAAGATTTTACTCTCCAGTTGGTCTTCAGTTTAAGGTTTGAACATGAAACTTGATAGCTTTGTAGTTATGAAACTTATGGCCACTGAGACAAGTGGAAGGAAGAATTCACATATCCAACGCGCAACATTCAGGCTGCATTCCAATATCACGATTCTTTTTTTTCAAACAGTATGCAAAGATAACCTCAAATGTCAAAAATTCTCTCTGCAAACATACACTGCAAACATGTAGTGAAATTTTATTCAAAAAAGCTATTAACAACTTAATTGTTTTTCATTAAACAAGCAAGGATACAGTCCCCTGAGAAATGCTATAGGACACAATGAAGAAGGGCCATAACCAGACTCAGGAGGGGGGAAAAAAAGTACAGAAAGCCCAGAATGAAATCAAAATCCCATGTTTTGTAGGTGCTGTTACTTTGTGTTAGAGTTGTTTTGCTGTACACTGTCATCAGGTCTCCTAGGCAGAAGAGTAGAAATGCTTGCAAGTCCTTCAAAAGCCTGTGAGACTGCCACACATCCTGTAGAGCCAGCTGGTTAACAAGGTGTCAGGACTCTACAAAGCTGCTGCCCCTGCCAGAGCACTGTACTGAATGTAACAGCGTGCACTTTCTTGTGCACCTCTGTGTGCAGTCATAGCAAAAAGAAGAAATCAAAAAAAAATAATTTAACTGAACACTGAGTTTATTAATTTCAAGGCAGAAGGTAGCACTCTCGTTTTACCTTTTGGTCTACCTCTTCTGAGAAAATTAGTACATGGAATTAAACATTTGATCCTTTTTGTTTTCTGTTCCAAGTGGTGAGAGACTTGGATTTGTACAACTCCAAACCAATGCTTTTGAGTTTATTTTGTTGTTTAAAAAATTTCACATGGAAGCAGTATTTCTGTTTAGATGAAGCAATACAAAATGCATTTTACAAAGTCAAAACTATAGATAGTGTTGATATAATTTTAAAAATATTTGTTTGTTCTGTGAAATTTAAAAAAAACACAAACCATAAATTTCAGTATAATTCTGTTTTGCTTTACTTGTATTACTCTACTGTTTCAAAGAAAATAGAGCTTCAAAGAGGCAAGAAAAGATGGGGGCCTATGTTGCTGTATGTTCAGGCATTTTCGGGAGAGCTCAGTCTACCAGATCTGAGGAGATTTTTCAAGAGATGTTTTAGTAACTGCTCATGTATGTGATTAGCTTGCTATTCCTACTTCATGTGATTAATATCTGAAGAGTGATTATTCTGTCATTTCTAGAGAGGATCACATGTTGGGGGTATTGGGTACTCTGTTTATTTTATCAATGCCAGTAGATTTTTACTTTTTTCTCCACCATTATAGGTTTGGGAGGAGCCCTGGGTTACCTGACAGGTGCTATGGATTGGAGTCAGACTGTACTAGGATATTCCTCGGCATCAGAATTCCAAGTGATTTTCCTCTTCGCAGCCTTGGTTTTCATAATCTGCCTTACCGTGCATCTGTGCAGTATTCCTGAAGTCCCACTCAGATACAAAAATGAAGAGGCAAAGTTCTTGTTGGAAGTGACTGAACCCCATAAATATAGCTCCACAGAGGACGAAATCAAGAATGGTTACTTAAAATCAACATGCACTGAAATAAAGGCTGCAGCTAAACCAGGGAAATGCACAGTTGTGTCACAGGTAAGTGCAGAGGTGATTTTGTGGGACATATCGTTACATCCTTAGAGACCCTTTAATTAGCTAATGCTGACTATTTGTAATGGAGCCCTTTCACATGCACAGAAAAAGAATCATTCACCAGGATACAGATGGAGAAAGCCTGCTTTCTTTTTTTTTTTATTTAGAAAGAATTGCCAGCAAGAGGGATGAGACGGGCTAGTTCTGAAGCTTTGGTCAGTTGGAAGGGACAAGGGAGAACCAGGTTCAGTTTTTTGCTCTGTGTCAGTTTCTTGATATGCTCCCCACGTGAATTTTGATAAGAGGATCTATTCTGTCCTTTAGTCCTGATATAATTAATATCAAATTTTGAACAAGGACTACAGATCACTGATCTTTGATATAGATCTGTAATTCCCACAGAAGTCCAAACACTTTCATATTTAGTGCATATAAAGTGTGTGTTCCCTGGTCTAGTAAACATTTGGGTTTGCTGCTGGACAACATTTCATTGAGGATTTATTGAGAGTACGAGTGTGTTTAAAATTTCTAGTTCTACAGCAATGCTACCTTGCTACCAGAGTTTTAGTTTTACTTTGAAGTGATGTTGTAGCTGTGTCTTTGGCAGAACTTTAAGGTGGGAGAGAATAGTGAGTACTTTCAAATCCTTGCTGTTATTTTGTTTCTACTGCATTTTTATGAGAGGCTGATTCAATCTCAGGAACTAGGAGAAGGTGATCTAACAGAAAAATACCTGGGGAGCACATTTCTAGAATGGTCTTGGGAATACTTTTTAATATTTTGTTGATGGATTTTAGTGCTAGGAATTCTCATGGCTCTCTCATGGTACCCTTAGTAAGCCATGGATAACAAAAACAGTTGCTTGAATGGATGAAAGAGTTGCTTTTTGTTTTAATTTCACCTTTGATCTCTTGGCATTATGTATATCCATCCCTGATAAAAGTTTGTTAAATCAGGTTAAAAGTACTGAGCATGTGCAGATGGTTATAAATTAGAGACCTATACTCATGTTTGAGCTATAAAGGATTTATTATCTTTTTGTAATTCTTTTTATAATAGCACTTGGTATTTCTAACCTGAAGAAAAACATTATTACACCAGATACAAAACAAAGGTATGTAAGGTGAATGTTGCCTGATGAGAATGCCAGGCAAACACAGAGAGAGGCAGACAGCAAGGTAACAGTTGTCTGGACAATATGACCAGCACACCATGATGCTGTCTGAGCTTCCTCACTGTAGGCCAGCTTGAGCAGCCAGCATCCTGCACCAGCACTGTTCTCTCCGAGCATCCTCCAAATTGTTGGAGATGCTGAGTGTCATGGATTGCTTGGACCATGTGGGCTCTGAAGAAAGGAAAGCAAATGAAGAAGAGAGAGCAATGCAGTGGAAGTATGGGGAGCAGACTGTGGATTGGGGTAGCCTTGGCCTTGGCAAGAACTAATTCCACAGAATCAATAACATCTGAGACCTGAGGGGAAGCTCTGGTGTCTCTGAGCAAGCTTGTGCCATTTCCCTCCTCTCTGATTAGGCTGGGCAGCCTGTTAGAGTCTCACAGAGCTTTGATCTGTCTCATGTTTCTTTGATGTGCCTGAGTGTGTATAAATTCTAGACACTCACTGCCTTAATTGTCTGTCTCTTGTGGCACATGTTTTCTGATTCATTCATTACTGTAATTGCTTCCTTAAAGAAATGGTTTGGCTTCCTGTTTTTCTGACTCTTTTTTTCATTACTGCAGGCATCACGGCCCTCTATCTTCTAAATTAAGGACTGTGCTCTCACATGCTAATAGCTAACATGATCATTAATAAGATTTGACCTGTTGCAGTATGAACAGACATCCAAAGTGATTAGCCTTGTGTTCTTCTGCATGGTGCCAAATTACTCAGGGTCCACTGGCATAATACCCAAGTCATATTGATTCTTCTGTATCCTTATAAATCATCTTGTGGCTTGAGTTGTAGTGAATTTACAGAGAAGATTATTTGGTATTGTGAGTTTTTGCGGGATAAATCATTTAAACAGAGCCAAACTTCAGCACATTATTTAAGTTATCATGTGATTTGTGTGTTGGTGCGTATTGAATGTGCACATTAAAGACTTTAGTTTCCATTTCCAGTCTCTAAAACATCTAAATAGAAAGAAAGCATTTCTATCTAGCTGTCAAATTATTGTTTGTAATCACAGCAGTGTCCTTTGTAGTTCCATGACCTTGCTTTAAACACTTTGATTGGAAAGGCAGTTTTAAAGAACTGTGAGAAAGAATTAACAAACTCAATAAGCCAAGTCAAAAGATAGTAAGTATCCTTGAAATAACAGTAATGAGTCAATGTGGAATTTTTAGGGTTTTTCTTAGAATTATAGAAGAATATAAAGCTTACCCTGTTTAAAAGAGACAGTGATGCCAAGAGAAATTCCAAGGGATTCGGACAATATGTAGTTCAAGGTGAAAGTCAGCAACTTGAATTTTGGCATTCCTATGAGGATTAAAAACCTCCCACTGAAGCAAAGTATTTTCCAACTTTAAATGTGGTGATTATTCATAGAGTAGCTTGCAGCATAACCCAGTTCAAATGAAAGAAGAATTGTAAAAAGTAACTATGACATTGAAAGAAGAAAGGAAAAAATGACATCTGAGAGGAAAGTGAAGACAAAATTTAGTCCAGTAATTTCCAGTAATTAACATAACTTTTACAGTTCTTCCACATTTTGTGACCATACAGCTTCCCTTACCATGTCTCCCCACACTGTTGTCTACAAGAAATACAAAAGAAAATTGAAAGTGTTCCATCGTGCACAGATAAAATAGTATTTTTTAAACTTAAAAGCAAAGAACCATTCAGGAGCTTTATTGTAGGAAGAATTACATGTCAAAATACCTCATCAAGCACACCTATAGTGCTAAAAAAAATATTAAAAGTATATAAGTGATCTGATGAATGTGACTGGAAAAAAACTGAAAATTTTGGTGCACAGGGCTGAGACAAAGAGGAGGGAGATAATGTGAGGCTTTGGAGGTGGTGAGAAATGTGGGTTTTCCACATCAGTGACATTGGTTAACTAGCACCAATAATGTTTTGATTTTGAATTATTTCTCCAATGGTATGAGGTGTTCAGATGCTGGAACTCACATTCTATGGGTGCCAGGATTGGGAGTGGTGCTGCATCTCCTGTGGTGAATCATAGCTTACCCTGCTTCATACAAGGGGGGACAGTACATAGTGGAAGTCTCGTGATATGCCTCAAGAGGTAGAAGTTTCCCCAGAAAAACAATATTTCTAGGGAATTTAGCACATAAAATGTAACAGGAATGAGGGCTCAGAAATGCTTAGAAATCCACAACCGATACCAAAATGTATTGTAAGCGTCTTTTTTTTCTGTGGCAGCTTTAAATTTTCAATGTAAAGCTGATTGTCTCCATAAAGAAATAATTTTTGTTTCTCATTGGCTTTGCTGTTGTTTGTTGGTTTGGGGTTTTGGTTTGTTGTTTATGTTGTTGTTGTTTTGTTGTTGTTTTTTTTTTAACTCCCTGAATCTGTTTTGGCAGAAAATTTTCCTGTGGTACTACACATAAATAATAATCCTACTGATTATAACAGCAAGAAATGTTGCTTCCTTGTTGGTGTACCCCAGCTCTCCTAGAGTTTCTGTGAATTTTATGTATTGAAGGACATTTAGTATACAAGCAACTCTTTCCTAGCAAAAAGTAAAAAACTTTGGAAGCCTAACACTGAAAAGATACTAAGGCCTTCTTCATTTGCTATCAGCTGTTTTATTATCCTTTGAGGCAATAATACAATAATTATTCTTAAATATATGCTTTTAGGATCAAAGGCAGATGACCCTTAAATCACTCTTGAAGACACTTTTAAGCATGCCATCCCACTATCGCTGTCTGTGCGTCAGCCACCTCTTTGGATGGATGGCTTTCCTATCCAACATGCTCTTCTTCACGGATTTCATGGGACAGGTAAAAGTGTAAAATCCTCTCGCTTCTCCTTCCCAATAGCATCTCCTCCTCCATCAAAAAGAAATTAAATGATATTATGATCCTGCAGAAATGAGATTGGTGTCAGATCCATTTGTATCTGGATGGCTCAACAAGGGTTTTGTAAAACAGCAAATTGAGGTCAGGCCCTTGTTCTGAGCCAGTCTGTTGAATTGTCAGGAAAAACCTTTCATCATTTGTAAGGCTGTTTGTGTCTATTTAACTGTTCCAAATGAAGCTCTCAGAGCTTGTCCAAACACGCATTTTCTGCATTGGCTTCAGAGCTTCTCTGAGATGGGCAGGTTTCCTAACTGGAGCAATGCTTCGGTGCAGCTGGCCTTATCCTAGTGCATGGGCACTGTCCACACAAAGCCATTCCCTTGCACTGCAGCCTCCTCGGCCTCAGGCTGTGCAGCTCTTTGCACTACTGAGATACTTGGTAGCAGAAAGCTCTTGTCTTCTTGAGTTTGTCTGTCCCTCCATACCTCCGTAAATCTTTCCCTGAGGCCCTGAGGCCCTTTGGCCAGCAACTATTTGCCTTCATAACACCCAGTGCTCCATTTTCCATGCCATTCTCAGGCAGAAGGACTATATGCCCTTAACAGCTATTCTTGCCTATATGAACCTGTCTACCTCCTTTCTTCCAGAGTACTAATATGCCCCCAGCACAAATCCACTCGCTGCCACTTCCTTTTTTTCTGTGGTTTCCATGCAGTATTCCCATTTCCTTGCCATTTTTGTCTTCACAGGCAAGGCAAGAGGAAGGGTTTTTTTTCCCTGTAGTATATATGAATGACTGAAAGAAAAAAATTTTTCTTGTCTAGATATGGAACTGAGTAAGACAGTTACTGTGTGGAAAAATTAGTGTGTTGAGGTAAGCCTGAAAGAGAAAAAAAAATTATTTGTAGATAAATTAGGGAAAGAAAGGCTAAGACAAGAAGGCAGACATGAAGAGAGAAGGAGAGTGGGGAGTGAGATACCCAAAGGAAAAAAAGCAAATTAATCAATGTAGAATGCACAGTTCAGGAAAAGGCAGAGGGTAATAAATGAGGAGGAGCCTGGGATGTGATAACTGGGGAGAAGTGAGTGTGAAACCTGCAGAATTATAGAGGGGTGGTTAGGACACTGCTTAACAGATTCTCCAGATGCTCCCTACCAGGGATGAGACCCTGTGTTGTGTACTTGTTCCTGTAAGAGGGAAGCATTCTCTACCTGCAGTCATCCTTACCTTCTGTGATCCTTGTGGTCTCTTTCAGATTGTATACCAAGGTAATCCTTATGCACCTCACAACTCCACACTTTACCTTACCTACAAAGCAGGAGTAGAGATGGGATGCTGGGGACTGTGCATCAATGCAATTTCTTCATCAGTCTATTCTTGTAAGTGCCCACAAATGAACTCCAACACTGTGTTTTTGAAGCTATTTGCTGTTTGCCACTGTTTAAAAAACATAAAATGATGCCAAATTAATTGGGGGTTTTTTCCACATTAAAACTTTAAGAAATGTTACATTCTCAGCATTGTTAGAAACTCGTATCTTTACACGACCGGTTCCTGACCTCATGATGAAGGGTCACTTTGGGAGTAAGACATTGTTCTGCATGTGAACTGACCATGAACACTGAAAATTGTCCTGGAGTTAAATGCCAGACTAAATTCTGAGATGATCTTTCACCCATCAATGCTGTAGCTGTAGGCTCTTGAAGGTGCCCTCTCCCCATTTGCATTCCCTATGCACAAATTCTTGCCAGAAGCTTGAGTCTTGCTCTCCGAAACTACGCGTAAACATGCTAGCACAACTCCCCAGATAGATTTCACTGTAATGCTTACCAGGGATTAAAAAAACTATTTGTGATCCGAAAACTCAAGTAAGTAACATTTTAGGGGCTGAACTGAGCATCTAAATGAGTCTTAAGGGAAATCTTTTCACCTTTGGAACACAGCAAAAGAGCCCTGTGGCCCAGACAGGGGACTGGACACCCAGAGACACAGCAGGAGACAGTGACCCCAAACTTTCATGCACTTAGACTGTGAGTGTGTAAGAGCCCAGGGTTTCCTTTGTTCAGGGTCCCTCCTTGAAGGCACCAGTTCAAGCTCTTATCCTGTTGTTGCACCATGATTAAATTATTTTAAGGATCCAGACGTCTGAGACTCTGCCATGGGAAACCTGGGATGGAGCCTGAAAGGAAACCTGGGCTGATTGTGCAAGTGTGGGCTGTGTAGAGAATCAACTGGGGACCTGTCCATTCACTGGAGCTCCCTGCTTTGAAGGGACCTCAGTCCCAGCTCAAGTGGTGCAGAGTGTGACTGCCAGAGTGGCTCCTGGATGGTCAGACAGGGAAGTTTCCTTAATGTTTCTAAGGTCAATGAGGGCAGTTCTTCCAGAATGGTTGTTAACTACTTCTTCTCTGGAGCTGGCTATGCCAGAATATTCCCAGAGAGAGCAAGTATACTTTGTCAAACTTATACCTACAGTAATTTGAGGCAACTTCCAAAATCAGTAAGATTATCTCCTTCATTTTACAAAATAAAACCCCTTAATGAACTCTCTGATGGAATGTGGCCTGTTTTGTTTTAGTCTTATCAGCGTTTTCACTTCCTTTTCACAGATGTGCAGAAAGTTCTTCTGCCATACATAGGATTAAAAGGACTTTATTTCATCGGATACCTCCTTTTTGGACTGGGTACTGGATTAATTGGCTTGTTTCCCAATGTCTATTCCACTCTGGCTCTGTGTTCACTCTTTGGAGTCATGTCCAGCACACTGTACACAGTGCCATTCCACCTCATTGCAGAGTACCACAGGGAAGAAGAGGTGAGTGCAATGTCTAAGGAAGCGTAACTTTAGGTCTGTCTGTGTCTGTTCAGTCTATTTTGGGGGTAAACTGGGTAGAAATAATGATAAACAGTTTTTAATTTTAATTTCAAAACTATTAATGATGACATATTATGAATTCTGACAGAGAGAGTTAATGTCCCAGCTCCAAACTCTCCAAACAGTCCTACAATGAGACATATAATTATTTGTCTCTGATGAACTAAAACCAAGCAAATCACAGTATGTGTTCAGGCAGTAAGCAGATGACAGAGTTCCACTTGTGTTGCCTTCATGTGCTACCTTCCTTATATTGTTCCTTGCAGCTGCATTAGCAGAGGATTTGACTTACCAGTGTCTGAGGTTAATAGAAATCCTATAAAGACTGGCAGTTTTAGTTAACTGCAGAGTGTTGCGGAAGCTCTTAGCTAATAAACACATGAAATTCAAGGAGAAACATCTTTACATGGTTCAGTATTTAATTGTATACCACGTTCTCATTATCTTTCTAAATGTCTGTGGTTGGGTTTTTGTCCTCCACAGCATAAAATACTGTTTCCAAGGAAAATTTGGAAGAGCTTGCACATCTTGTACGTTGATATTGAGCACAGCAGGATCTTCATGTATTGTAATGTGTGGAATTCTTTCATGGTAAAGTTCTCTCAAGTCTTCAAGTTAGTAGACAGCTGGGAACAAAGAAGGATTAAGGAGAGTTGGGAGGACTTAGGAAAAGTTCTCAGTATATCTTGGGACATTGGAAAAAATTAATAAAGGAAAATTTGAACCATTGAAAAACCACACAGAAACACAGTTGAGACCAAGATAGGGCTAGATCAAGTGCTGGGGAACTTGTCCTACTGTTTGGCACACCCTCTGAATGATGAACACAATAAAACTCTTTAATTATTCTATTCTATTGAATCCTAGGAGGATGATGTCTTAATGGGGTTAAATACTTCACATATCTAATTCCTAATTTTTCAGTTTGTTTCTTTGGTCCTTCCAACAGAGAATGATCATGATGTAGAGTTTATAAAGATATAAAAAAGGACAGGGAATGAACCCAGTTTAGGGCGAGATCACAATTCTAACCTCAGGCCAGCTACCTCAGAGAGAGGGAATAAAGGCAAAATTTTAGTCTAGCTCTGATTCAGAGCAGTTCCAAGACAGAAGTGAAATAAAACATACTGATGTGTACATGAACTTATATTTAATCGGCCAATATATTCGGATGTTGCTTGTAAGGCAACCAATTGTTTCTTGTTTGGTGTATGGTACTTGCTATGATAGATGTTAAATGATGTATAATTCTATGTTAGATTTGATACTAATGGATTGAGGTTTAGCTCAAATCTTCTATAATGTACAAGATGGTTAGGAAAAAATAAAGAGGAAACATCAAGCACAAAATTGCATATATTTACACATTCATGTGTTTGTGGTCAGAACCACTGGCACATAGGAACCTTGGGAACAGTCTAGCAAAACAGATATAATTTATAAAAAAAAAAGTGTCTGAAATTGGGATTGTATCATTCCAGAACAAAGAGCAGATATCTTCCCTCACTATGCATTCTTCCAAAATCATATGCTGGGTTTAACAATGTTGCTATTTCAACTCCTGTTCTGTGCTGCTGTTCCCTAGGATCCAAATTCAGTTTTTTCTACTGGATTAGGAAGAGACTGTTTGTTTCCAGTACTTGTGAGCCTTGAGTGGGAATAGCTCAAAGGCAAGATAATAGGTTTTGCAAAAACCAAAAAGCATCTTAATGACCATGAGCATTTGTCTACCAGAAGACAGCAGTGCAGCTAGCCTTATAGTGTGGAAACCTCTTGTTGTTACAATACAACCTCCTCTGTGCAACAGCTTATGCAAGAAGAAAAATAAATAAGAAAATACCACATAATTTCAAAAACCCCCAGAATAATTCCTTCCTGGAGGGAATTGCAGAACAGCTGGAAGGGAAGGGACCACCAGAGATCATTTAGTCCAACCTGCTCAAGGAGGGCCACCTGGAGCAGGCTGCCCCGGGTTTGGTTTGAATAATTCCAAGGATGGAGACTCCACAACCCCTCTGGTCAACCTGTTCCAGTGATTCACCAGCCTCACAGGGTGCTAACGTGCAAGATACTTATATAGAATAAATGAAGGCTTTTGCTCTGCTATGTGCATCATAGCAGACACACAGGTAATTAGTAGGTAACAATGGTCCTCAGTAGTGTACAAGAATCCTAGTCTGGATGTTTGTTTTCAGGTTGCTTTTTTCCCCAGCAAGAAAAGCATTACATTTAGATTTTGGTACTGAATTCCTTTACGCACTTTAAACCATAACTTCAGAGCACATTGCTTCTGTATGTGTGTGGGGATTTTTCTGCAATTCTATAAAGTCTTTGACAACATCCTTCTCTGTAGATTGGTAAGGGATGGATTTGATGAGTGGACTGTTAGATAGATAAGAAAGTAGTTGGACAGTCACATCCAGAGGGTTGTGGTCAATGGCTCAGAGTCCCAATGGATGTCAGTGAGAAGTGATGTCCATCAGGGGTCCTTTCTGGGACCAGTGTTATTTAATATCTTCATTGGTTACATAGACAAAGGTCTCAAGTGCCTCCTCAGCAAATTTGTAGATGACACCAAGTTGAGTGCTGCTGTTGACACACCTGAAGGACAGGATGCCATCCAGAGGGGCCTGGACAAGCTCGAGATGTGGGCATATGGGAATCACACATGGTTTAACAAGACCAAGTGCAAAGTGCTGCACCTGGGTTGGGGCAATCTCCAGTACCAACACAGGCTGGGGGATGAACAGATCAAGAGCAGCCCTGCAGAGAAGGACTTGGGGTGCTGGTGGGTGAGAAACTGGACATGGCCCGGCCATGTGCACTCACAGCCCAGAAACCAATCCTGTCCTGGGCTGCATCCAAAGCAGGGTGTGCAGCAGGTGAGGGAGGGAATTCTGCCCCTCAGCTTCTCTCTGGTGAGACCCACCTGGAGCACTGCATCCAGCTCTGTGTGGATGGGTGCACAACAGGATGGACATCAACCTGTTGGACTGAGTTCAGAGGAAGCCACCAAACTGATTAGGAGGGAGGAGTATCTCTTCTATGAGGACAGGCTGAGAGATTTGGGATTGTTCAGCCTGGAGAAGAGAAGGCTTCGATGTGACCTAATTGTGGCCTTTCAGTACCTGAAGGGGGCCTGCAAGAGAGATGGAGAGGGACCTTTTACAAGGGCATGTAGTGACAGGATGAGGAGCAATGGCTTCAAACTGAAAGTAGGTTTAAATTAGATATTAGGAAAAAATCATTTACTGTTAGCACTGGAATAAGTTTCCAAGAGAAGCTGTGGATGCCCCTTCCCTGGAGGTGTTGAAAGCCAGGTTGGATGGGGCTCTGAGCAATGTCCCTGCCCATGGCAGCAAGGTTGGAGCTAGATGTTCTTTAAGGTGCCTTCCAACCCAAACCATCCTGTGATTCTATGATGATTCTTTGATAGTATGATATCCCTTTGAGGCTCTCCTTCAGCCATGAGTTACAACTAAATTATCCATGACAGTCCTGTACTGTTAAATGTAAGTTTGACAGAGCTCACATTGACCTGAATTTGAAAGAAATGTCTAATTTTTTTTGGTCAAGTTTCAATTGCTTCCTTGAGAGAAGGGATAGAGGGAAAAACTGCAGATGAGAAAAACCGGACAATTCAGTGGAACCTTGGGCAACTCATTGTTACTTGTGAAATCTCTGTGTTCCATAACCTCTGTGATACAATAAGGGAAGCAGGGAGCTATCAGCATGCCCTGCTGTACCTCGGGGTTGTACCAATGCACTGGCCAAGAGCTGCATGTTGTCAAAACCGTCCCGTCTCACTGGGGGTTTTTTCGTGCTTCTTTGCAGAGCCTGAAGCTGCAGGATGGGGAACAAACAGGAGAGCACGGACGAGGGAAGGGCATTGACTGTGCTGCTCTCACTTGCATGGTCCAGCTTGCCCAGATCATCCTTGGTGTGGGCCTGGGGCTCTTGGTTAGTGTTGCTGGCAGCGCCGTCACTGTGATTTCGGCGTCCATGGTGGCTCTGGTCGGCTGCTGCTTTGTTGCTTTCTGTGTTCGTTATGTGGAGTAGGACTGTGAGAAGTGACTGGAAGAAATCTCCCCAGGGGAGTGTTTTCTTTCTGGGTCCGGAGCACTGGTGCTGTTGCTGTGCTGATACTGCTGGCACATCCTCCTCTCTTACCTCCTTGGATCAGTTGCAATTCCAGAGCTTTATGAAACAGAGATTTGATAAAACTGGTTGCCTAACGCCTCAGATGCATACACACACCCAGTGTATTCACATGCTGTGACATGTGACAGCATGTCTGCCAGTGGTATTTTGATGCCCTACATGAGGAGTCATTACGAAACTGCTCATTACCAATTTGTGGAAGTTAATAGATGAAGTATGTGATAAATTGAAGTAATGTAAAAGGACAGAGTTGGGAAGAAAGTTATTATTTATCTTGTTTTTCAGGTGTTTTAAGTTTGGGGCTGTTCCCTCCTGTAGTCAAAACCTGCAAGAGGATCAAGCAGGTGTCGAAGGGCAAGCAGGGTGCATCTGTGTTATGATTAGTACTGCTAAAGGGGATCAGTTAATTATCAGCCATGGTTAAAAGCAGGTTTGGGTGTGAAAAATGTTTGGAATATCAAAAAGATTGAAGCCAATTGTTTAAAAACATAATTGTAAAGTAATTATTAAGTACTGGATCCTGCTGCTTCTGTATAAATGACATGGAACTACTAGTTAGGCTTATCAGGAAAGTCTGCCTAAGTCTGTTCTGCAAGTCCATGTGTAGGCACCTAAAAAATCTGTCTATGGGGAACAGCTGCCATTTCTTCCTTTTTTAAAAACTGGCCTCTCAATTTTGATACTGTAATTGAAAAAATAAACTTTTTAAAAACTGGTCTCTCAATTTTGAAAAATTGAGAAATTGAAAAAATAAATAATTGAAAAAATAAACTTGGCCAAAGTAAGAATTTGATGAATGGTTGAAAGCCACTTAAATCTTGACATTGGATATGAGAAGTATTTACCTTAAAGTAGCATCTCTATTTTCTCTATTTTCTTCATGCATCTAGCTTTGAGTGAAATGGCATTTGCTCTTTACAGAATATTGTAAATAAATTCAGTTCTGCAAAGCACTATCAGGAATTACTGTACAGTAAATATGTAAGCCCAGTTGTTTGTATTTAATTGCTTATGAAGCTTCATTCTTATTTTTATAATATTGCCAGAGTTTTGGAAATCCTGTATTTGTGAAAGTTATATACTGTATTTATGCTGTGCTTCCTCTGTCCTGAAAACGGTCATATCAACTCACTGTGTTATATGTTAAGCCACATGAAGAGATCTGCTAATGCAATATTGTTAATGAACACTGAGAGACTACTGCCAAATATGGTGTTCATCATTGGTTGTGGTTTTTTCTTTTTTTTTTTTTTTTAATGTTGCACATGTATAATCAACACTGTTCAGTCAAATGCAGTGTTGACCTGATCAAGTCTTAGAAGCTCTGCAAGATATGGACTTATAACACCACAAATAAATGGTTAGATTTGAGCATCAAGTGCTTCCAGAGATGCATCAAGTTCATCATTTTTCTGTGTTTTCAAGAGTAGAGTGAGTCATTTATTCTCAGGAAAACCAGTCTTCCCCTAGTTAAATTCTTATTAATTATAACAAGCCTATGGAAGCCTCAGCTACATTTTCTTGTTGATCACTGAAAGTGTCCCCTACAGTGTCCCCACTGTAGGCCCAAAAAGAGGGTCAGTGCATGGCAAATCTCACTACCGAATCTTCATCCTGCCTTATGAAGAAACTACGTTTTACAGTTTCTTTTGTTTTGTGGCTCTTCATGTCACACCCATGGAAGAGAAAAGACTGAGGAAGACTGAGTCCCTGAACTGTGCTTGAAACACTTTGTGGGTGCTGAGATGGCTGGAGCACAAGCGTCTCAATGAGGACAATGAGGAGAAAGCCAGAAAATGAAGGATCGTTGTCTTCTCCATTCGCTTTATGCCATCGTTAGCTCACTAACTTCCATTAACTCAGTATCTCCTGGGAGTAAAAATATTTATGAGAAAAATGAGGCTTCTATGGAGCCATAAAAATATAGGTGATCTGGTTTTATAGGGCAGCACCATGTAAAACTGTGCTCCAGGAGCTGAGGTCATAAAGCTCTGATTCTACTGTGAGGCTGGGAAAGAAATTTTGCAATGTTTACCTATGTCTTTGTCAATATTTTCTTTGAGTTTTAATGCCATCAGAACTGTGCTGGTTTAAGAGTTAACCAGCAGGGGAAATGAACTCAACTCAAAGGAGAGATTATAAGTCAGAATAACAATTTACTAAAATAATACAGTAAGTACAATCATACAAACAAACAATTGGTCTTAACCCACAAAACCCAAATGTATAACCCAGTACCCTGGGGCATGAACAACGTGGTGTTCCTTGGGCCCCGCTTGAGTCCAAAGTAAAGGGAGAGGGGAAGAACCTGCTGGTGGGAGAGCGGTTGCAGTCTGGTCAAAAGTGGTGATTGCAGTCCAGTTGAGGGTGGTCTAAGTCTGGTTGAGAGCGATGAGCTGCAGTCTTCCTCTGGATCCCACGAGTGGGTTAAAAATGTTCCGACACTCCAAGATTATATATCCTCCAGTTCAGGCAGGAATGTTCAGTACTTCCCTCAGGGCGGGGAGTTCCACAAAGGGTGTGAGGACAAGAGCATCCTCCTATCTCACAAGCCTCTTAACACCTAGTTTATAGCCTGAGGAGTCAGGCTCTATGGGCAGAGGGTGCGAATACTCTATTGACAACAGTTTCTGGGAAATGGCATGGAAGGCTATAGAATACACAGTTTTGGGTTACACCCATACCATGATGAACTGATCTCAGCTGTCCTAACTAGGACAAGAACATTAACATTTAAATGGTCAGTGTTATCTCTGCTCTGTTGCACAAAGAGAATGCTGGCATTTATTCAGGCCCACAAAGTGACTGTAGATCTCTAGCAATGTAAGAAAGGTTGTGAACCTGCAGACAGAAGAGAGAGGTGCCCATAATGTATATCAATGCTTTTATTTATAAATGTATTTAGAGAAAACTGTTTCAGGAATTCATATTGTCATCTTTTTTATGATCTTTCCCTTTAAAATCCACTGCATGCTACAGAAGACAGAATAGATTAGAGTCAGTTTTTCTTTGGACGTCTCTTCATAAAAATGTCCTATATTGCTTCTAAGACTTCAAAATAATATCTTTCTTTATGAATATTTGTCAAAAATAGCAAGCAGACAAAAAATATGTACAATTTGAAAAACAGTGCTCAAACAAAAAAAGAATTCTGATGGTGCTCATTCTGAAGTTGAATTTCAAGTATTAATGAAAACAATATAAAATGCTAGTAATTCATAAAAGGGGATATAATAAGTATTTCTTTTAGCAATAGAAATGTTACTAATATATGTTACTAATATAATACATTACTAATAAATGAAAGGGGATAAAATAACTATTTATTTCAGCAATAGAAATGCTAAAATGTTAAAATATTAAAGGTATTGAAGAATTGTGCCGTGTGCTACTAATTGAAGAAGTTCTACCTTTTCTGTGCTTTTACATTAGTTCTGGACTTGAGCTATCAATACGATCATTTATTGTACTTAATATCGACTTTTGTTGCAATGATGTGAGTATAAAGTTGCAAGTACCCTGTGTCTGGTCTTCCCCATCTGGTTTTATTTCCACATACATAAAATCAAATCAATAAGATTTTCTCTGTATCATGTTTATGCAAATGATACATTTAGATGAAACATACAGAATCACAGAATGGGTCAGGTTGGAAGGGACCACAGTGGGTCATTTGTCCCAACCTCCCTGCTCAAGCAGGACCATCCTAGAGCACATGGCACAGGATTGTGTCCAGATTTTTGAATATTGTTTGAATATTTGTTTTGAATATCTCCAGTGAAGAAGACTCCACAACCTCTCAGTCATCTCTTTGTGAGGCAGAACACACCAGGTTCCCTCAGCTTTTCCTCATAAGAGAGATGCTCCTGTCTCTTAATTGTCCTTGTATCCTTTTGATGGACCTGCTAAAAGATGAGATGTCTTGTGATAACCAACCACTCCTCCTTCCCACTTTGACTAAAGTAGTCATGGCTGAACAAAATGAAGCAGGAACCAAGCCTACCATCTTATCTCCATGGCATTTGCCTTTTTATTTCTCCTATGAACATCTGTCTCTTATTCCCATTTAACAAGCAGTCATGTCATGCAAGCAAAGCCTCCAAGGAACTTTTGCTTCCCTTTAGAGGATTTGGAGTATTAGTAATGTGAAAATTGTTTGGGTTTTGTTTGTTCTTCCCCCTCCCCCCCCCATGTTCATTCTTTCACAGTGATCCCATTGAGTTTCTTTGACTTACTTGAAAACAAACAACTCAGGTGGCTTGTGGCAGATAATTTTTTCTTCCACATAAACTACACAAGTCAGGATGAATCATAAATGTCTTTGCTTTGGGAGAAATCACAGCTTTCACATTGGTGCCCATGAATCACTACTACTCCCTGCAGCATGTCAAAAGATAGGAAGAGTGGTGTAAGTGAATGTGGCAATGGTGACATTTGATACTTCTGAATTGTAGAGGGATTGCTTCATGGAGGAAGATGGTGGAAGCATCTGCTGTAAAATGTCTTTAAAGGATTTTGGGCATGATAAAGCTATAAAAAGTGTTCTATAAAACAAACTTTTCCCCTCTAAGTTTCCAGTATTCATTTCTCGTTCTCTGGCTGCTCCTTCTTATTTATTCAAGAGGCAAATGTTCGAGGCCACTTATTCAAGACTAAGCTGTGAAAAGTGATTTGCAATATTTACAGGCCCAGATGGGATGCATCCATGAGTGCTGAGCGAGCTGGCAGACATTCTAGCCAGGCTGCTCATGATCATCTTTGAAAGGTCATGGAGATCAGGATAGATGCCCAAGGACTGGGAGAAAGTAAATGTCACCCTGGTTTTCAAAAAGGGCAAGAAGGAGAACCCAGGGAACTACTGGCCAGTCAGCCTCACCTCAATCCCTGGACAGATATGGAGCTCCTCATCCTGGAGGCCATCTCTACCCACATGGAGGACAAAAAGGTGATCAGGAGCAGTCAGCATGGGTTCACTAAAGATAAATCATATTTGACCAACCTGATTGCCTTCTAGGATGAAACAACTACCTGGACCGATGAAGGGAGAGCAGTGGATATTGTTAACCTTGACTTGAGTAAGGCTTTGACACTGTTTCTCGCAACATTCTCATAGGTAAACTCAAGAAGTGTGGACTGGATGAGTGGATAATGAGGTGGATTGAACTGACTGAGTGCCAGATCCCAGAGGATTTGTAAGGGCACAGGGTCTATTTGGAGGACAGTCACTAGTGGTGTCCCCCAGGGTTCTATACAGGACCCAGTATTTTTTTAACTTATTCATCAATGACTTGGATGAAGGGGCAGATGCCTCCTCAGCAAGTTCAGTGATGACACAAAACTGGAGGAGGGGCCAATATCCCAGAGGGCTGTGCAGCCCTTTGGAAGGACCTCGACAAGCTGGAGAGTTGGGCACAGAAGAGCCATCGAAGTTGAACAAAGGCAAATGCAGGGTCCTGCACCTGGGGAGGAATAACCCCCACACCAGTGCAAGCTGGGGCCTGACCTGCTGGAAAGCAGCTCTGCAGAGAAGGACCTGGGGGCCGTGGTGGACCCTGAGCCAGTGGCATGCCATTGTGGCCAAGAGGGCCAATGGAATTGTGGGGTGCGTTAGCAAGACCATTGCCAGCAGGCTGAGGGAGGTGATCCTTCCTCTCTACTCAGCCTGGTGATGCCACATCTGGAGTGCTGTGTCCAGTTCTGGGCTCCTCAGTACAAGAGAGACACAGAGTTCCTGGAGCAGGTCCAGTGGAGGGCTACAAAGTCAATCAAAGGACTGGAGCGTCCCTCTCATGAGGAAAGGCTGAGGGACCTGGGCCTGTTCAGCCTTGAGAAGAGACAACTGAGAGGGGACCTCATCAGTGTCTATAACTACGAAAAGAGAGGGTGTCAAGAGGACAGAGCCAGGCTCTACTCAGTGGTGCTGAGCAATAGGACAAGAGACTATGGGCAGAACCTGATGCACAGGAAGTTCCACTTGAATATGAGGAAGAACTTCTTTACTGTGCCAGTGACGGAGCACTGAAACAAGCTGCCCAGAGAGGCTGTGGAGTCTCCCTCAATGGAGATATTGAAGAACTGTCTGGACATAATCCAGTGCATTGTGTTCTGGGAT